CATCGATATGATGTTTTAGCTGACCGTCACTTCCTGTCATTTTCTCTCTTTTTCCTTTTTGCGACGCGTCATCGTTACATCGTAGACGACGCCATTAAATCGCAGCATGAGTATGCCGTTGCGTTGGTATATACGTAACACATCCTCGCTTTTCCTTTGATTGTAAGTGTGTGGCATCAACGGTAGAGTGGATGCGTCGTGAAAGCCATTTTAAAATGTTTGCTTTCTTCTGACGTACATTTGGACGTATTTATGCTAAAAAGAGCTATGTTACATGCAAATCCTATGCACTTAGTTCCTTTTAGCATAAATACATCCATTTATAAGACGGCATTGGCCATTAACCAGAATCAGTCTATAACTAATAACTACATCGGAGGTTGCCTATAAGTTCATCACTCTGCCTTAAAAATTGAATGAGTATATCGATGGAAAAATTGCAAAACTACGTAACTCCGTAGCGATGTTCCAAAATTTCCACTTCTGCTTTCTTCGAAGAGCAACAAAGCATATTTATACCTAGCTTGAAACTTTTACAGAATGTTCCTCTGGCGGAAACGAAAAATCAATGAAGTTTTTTTAGACATTACGTTGACAGGTTTTCCGAAGAAAATGCTTGACACTAAGTTTACAACGTCGCAAACGGAGATTAACGATTTCGCACTATGGTCATGGATATTCTTAACAAGAATCCAAAGAAAATTGACATAAAGTGTCAAGGTATATCCTACTCAAAGGCCTTAGGATCGAAAGTACGGTTATGGCTCCTAAAGCACGCCAGAACAACTGACAGCCACCTCTCACGTCGTTTGCCACTCGTTTATACAAGTTCGCCTTCAATATCTCGATAGGCAATCTGAGCGGCTTGAGAGCAGTAATATAGTTGCTCGCCGCATTTCGGCCACGTTCACTCAATTTGTTCATAGCTGTGGCCAGTGTTCGAAACTCACAGGCGTCAAGGCGCCAAATGCGCCAAAAAAATGAAGGCTTAGCACCAACTTGGCCCGTAAAATTGCCCCCCCCCCACCCCAAAGGAAGAAAATCCTGATTTCTCTGCTTGGCGATTTTTCGAAATTTTGTCGCACGGCATCGGATTCAACTCGCGAAAAACAAACAGTTGCGCCCTAATCTTCTCCGCGGCGGCACAGTAGAATGAGAGTCGGTGTTAAATGGGACGAGGGGAAGGGGGGGGGAGAGATCGTCTGGGTTCGCAGAAATTCGCAGGAAATCACACGAATAAAAAGAAGAAAAAATCTGTTTGAATTGAAAAAACTCAGAACTTTCAGTATTAAAAGTAAAAGCTTTACCTGTTATTCACAATTTCATTCTTAGTGCTTTTGTTTTCCCCAAGTTATAGCAACTAGCTCTGTAACTAAAACATATTGTATCTACACGGAAAAGGTGGCATTGCTCATTTAACAATTTTGTAGTAAAAAAAAAAGTGACAAATATGTTTCAATGTAGATTTTACAATGAAAAAATGCCAATTCAACCACGGTCATGGTCAGGCCCGCCACATCCCATCTCGGGCCCTGATACAAGTTTTAAGGTCCGGGCCCCAAGCAAGGAGGGGGGGGGTCCGAGGGGCATCCCCCAAGAAATTTTAGAATTTATACGACTAATCGGACGCATTTTGAAGCTTCTTTAAAGAATTTTTCCATCAATTTCTGCGGAACAATTATGTTTTTTTTCTCTACTTTCAGCACAAAATACTTGCGAATTGTTGCATTCAAAACACCTGGAAAATTTTTATTTTTTTGGGGGGGGGGTAGTTTTTCTTCGCAAATACAGGTGTTGTATTCACATGAATTTCTCTGTGTCAGTGTCATACATTGTTTCAAGATTTTCAAAATAAAAATCGTGAAAATTTCTGTATCGCTACAGAATCAGTTGATTTTTCACTACAATTTTGCAGAGCATGAAACATATTGTTTGCCACTTCAAGTAAAGGCATTTTTTATTGTTCTTCGTCTGTACGCTTCATATTGCGCTTGTAGGATCTGGGTTTATTGAAATAATTTATTGCGGAAAAGTTGCATGAAAATCATGATTCGCCACGAATAAACGCACATAGGTATAAAGGACAGTACACACATTTTTTGAATCTACAAGCTATATTATCGAAAATTTTCCGATCTCTCCTTTGTTTTCGTGCTAAAATCATTCATCCTTTTCCCACTTTTTTCTTTCGATGAACCGACGTCTTAGCACCAAAAACTTGATACTGAAAAATCAAGAAATTCTGATTGACAGGGTCAATTTAAAACCATGAATCTATGCAGAGAGCACGTTTGTTAAAAAAAAAAAAAAATGTAAAATTTATCGGTATAAAAATGCTCACCAAACGCACTAAACGCAAATACGCAGGAAACACAATACACGCGAATAGGAGGGAAACGCAATAAACGCAAATACGCAGGAAACACAATAAACGCAAATACGCAGGAAACGCAATAAACGCAATAAACGCAAATACGCAGGAAACGCAATAAACGCAAATACGCAGGAAACGCAAAAAACGCAAAAAACGCAAATACACAGGAAACGCAAAAAACGCAAATACGCAGGAAACACAATAAACCCAAATACGCAGGAAACACAATAAACGCGAATACGCAGGAAACGCAATAAACGCAAATACGCAGGAAACACAATAAACGCAAATACGCAGGAAACGCAATAAACGCAAATACGCAGGAAACGCAATAAACGCAAATACGCAGGAAACGCAAAAAACGCAAAAAACGCAAATACGCAGGAAACGCAAAAAACGCAAATACGCAGGAAACGCAATAAACGCAAATACGCAGGAAACGCAATAAACGCAAATACGCAGGAAACGCAAAAAACGCAAATACGCAGGAAACGCAATAAACGCAAATACGCAGGAAACGCAAAAAATGCAAATACGCAGGAAACGCAAAAAACGCAAATACGCAGGAAACGCAATAAACGCAAATACGCAGGAAACGCAATAAACGCAAATACGCAGGAAACGCAATAAACGCAAATACGCAGAAAACGCAATAAACGCAAATATGCAGGAAACGCAAAAAACGCAAAAACGCAAATACGCAATGAACGCAAATACGCAGGAAACGCAGAAAACGCAAATACGCAGGAAACGCAATAAACGCAAATACGCAGGAAACGCAAAAAACGCAAATACGCAGGAAACGCAATAAACGCAAATACGCAGGAAACGCAATAAACGCAAATACGCAGGAAACGCAAAAAACGCAAATACGCAGGAAACGCAAAAAACGCAAATACGCAGGAAACGCAATAAACGCAAATACGCAGGAACTACTACTACTTTATGATACTATTTTCAGTTCTAAGAGGGCCAGGCCCCCTGGACTCCCCCTTCGTTTCTCTATGGCAAGGGAGATGAGCCATGAGCCATTGAAGTCGAGGATGCCCGGACTGGAGACTCTTAGCATCTGACGACTTAAGAAAATGAAACGCAGTTACTAAAAATATCCCTCTGTACTGAAAATCTTGAAAATAGATAGAAATTTTCCAAGAAGTATATTTCTTTGAAAATTTAAGAAGAATTCTACAGTGCCCCAGCGTGTTTTTGAAAATCTATTAACCTTTTACGTAATTTTTAGGATAAATTTTTCACTTTTTCTTGCGAAACAAGGGTTGATTGTGAATTCGTAGTGGGTTTTCACGGGTAACACGGGCCCCCTCCAGGGCCCGGGACCCGGTACCAGGTGCCCAGTATCCCCGCCTTGTGCCGGGCCTGCCTTCATACACGCTGGGCTTGTCGATTTCCTTTGACAGTTTTGCAGTGGTGAATGCATAGCTGAAGTGCGCTCCACCTTGAATTGTATATAGCAAATGGGTAATTTTTATAGGAGGATTATAAATAAACAAGTGGTTAGAAATGAAAACAAAAGAATATGAACTATGCAAAACGATATTCCGGGTATCGGAACTTGACTGATTTGAAAACGCCTTCAAATGCGGCGTGATACCTCACGCATTCCGGAGAGTTCAAATAGTTGTATCATTGCGCCTTAGAAATGCGACGGAAGATTACAATTGAAATAGCCTTCATGCACGCTGGCCTTTTCGATTTCCGTTAACATTTTTGCAGTCATGAATGCGCTTAAGTGCGCTTCGGCTAGAATTGTATTTAGCAAATGGGTGGTTTTTATAGGAGGATTATAATTAAACAAGTGGTTAGAAATGGAAACATTATAATATGAACCATGCAAAACGATTATTCCGATAACGGAACTGAAAGAAAATCTTATTTTTCCGCCTATATCATATTATCTCGTTTATGAAGCTTTATGCATCGTTAAATGCAGACATAATGTGCGCAACCATTCGGACTCAAGATAGGTAATTGCTTTGGTGGGAAAAATCTTAGATTTTCACCTGTCTCAAATTATTGACGTTTATACATTCATAAACGCTATTATGCTCGCATCGTTTAAAGCAGAAATCAAGCGCGCAACTATCCCAACTCCGGCGTATTAATTCTGGCTCATCTGAAAAAAACACGTATGTGCATAGGGGAACTAATGGCACATACGTTGTTTTTAAACCGGGCCAGAATTTATAGTTCCAAATTGCAAAACGCAGTCCATTTAATGGCATACTGAGCCCATCTCAGAAGTTTCAAATAATTCCTTGAAATTTATGTAATTATGAAATTTTTTAACTGTTATTTTGTAAAGTATCATGAAATTTTGCATCTCTTCCCCGCTCTCCCCTCCCCCCTCTTCCACTCTCGTCTTCCCTTCCCCCATCTACTGGATGTCTACAAAGTGCAACAAAGTGGGGGTCAAGTATGATTTGTTTATATACCGAAGAAATAAGGCGTTTTTGCGACACACATCTGTAATCAATAAATATTAGATAGAAAATATTATGTTCAGTACCTATGTGGGAAATAGCGTCAAATGCAAAAGCCATGTTTCTAATAGCGCATCTACGCAAGCGCGCTCTCGGTTGGTAACACTGAATATCAATTTGTAAACATGCAAGATGGCCTCCAATATCAGAATTCTAAATTTGCCCGATTGCCTGGCTTCCAAAATCTCGTTTTAGTTTTGCATCTATTCCTCTCTCCAGTGAAAAATAAAGCCCCGGATCGCATTTTCCTCGATGTTTTACTCATTCGTTAATTTTTTTTTGAAGTTTCTAGCAATAGAGTAGCATCTCATTCGTGTGAATGTACGCTCGGGTAACTTAACGACTTTGTTTATATTTTGAAATGTGCCATCATGAATAAAGATGGTTTTTCAGGTTTGTGTGTTTATTATCTTTGTGTAATCTTAAGTTTAACTATTTTTTTAATGTTTCGGTACATTTTCCTTTAACCTGATTGGTTTGAAGAGTCACAGTTTTACATCACTCACCCTGCACCATAACTTTCCGGATAAACGGAGAGTGAGCTCTATCGATCATCCTCTCAACCAAAGCTCCTTCATCAGAAAATTGAGTTCATCTCTATGCAATTATTACATAAATTTTAATTGGATAGGGTACTCGATTCTTATCTTCATGTGGAGATCTTGCGTTCCCCAATTTATGAATCGATCCAGGCAGCGTGAATTTTTGCAGTAGTTTAGGAAATGAATCATGCTGGAACCCAACTTTTACACTTTTATTGTTTCAATATTACGGCAGCTCAGTGCATGGTCTGTTCTGTCAGTCAAGCTAGGTTGCAACGAAACTTATTCCAAACTTTACTTTTTTATTTACATATTAAGCTGTAACAGCTCACATTCCAAGATGTATCCAACTTTTGTATTTATCTATGGTCGTTGTGAAAGATCCCTTCCGATTTACTGCCTTTCATTTTGATAATAGCACAGTAATTGTAATTTTTCTTTCAGTTCTTAGCGGCGCACCAACATCTGCAGATGCCTGCCTCAGTATTGTTCACAGTTTGATGTGTCACCGCAATGGATGGGAGACAGAAAGTTTTGCAAAACGAGCTATAGAAAGTTTGGTGAAGAAACTGAAGGTTCGTCTCATTTCTGTTGTTCGTTATATTGTCGAAGTGTTATTCTCTTCCACAAGTCAGCTGTAGCAAGGCATAGTCTTCATCATAGCACCTAATATCAAGATCAACTAAATTCAAGGCTGAGAGAATTATTGCCAAAGGCTTTTTTCCGAAGCGGACTTACTTCTGAATGCTGGTAACAGGGATATCTTTGATTGTTGCCTCTTTATCCCATTTGCCTCACATGACCAGTTTACTTGTCAGTGGGCGCCTAGGACATTATCTCAGCTGACTAGTTAATTCGCGCCATTTTCGGCGTTCTGACGCTTGAGATGCCATCATCGGAAAAGTGAAAAAAACACTGCCAAAAAAATCGCATAGCAACGCCGATAGATGCTGTGAATTAACTCGTCGATTGATATATGTCCCACGCGCGCGCTGACAATTATACTCGTCAAATGAGACTAATGGGTTAATTATGAGTTACCATGAGTGCAAAGACAGAACATTTTGTTGGTGAAACTCCCAAACCTTGTATCTCGTTTGCAATGTTTAAAAATCTTCGCTCCCATTTTATTTTTTTCAAGTGGAACAAATCCATATCAATCCTTGCAGCTTTCACTGCATTTCCCTCGCACAGAAAAAAATATCGTAGAAGTTTCAAAAAATTGACGTTGAATAGTTTTACATTAAAAAAATCAAGTGCGACTGGAATTCTGCAATGTCGCAAACTGAGAAACGTGGTTTGGGAGTTTCAACGTTGATTTGTTGGTACAATCAGGGGGAGATGTGAAACCGGTTTGGCACTCTTTTCCTAGTGTTGCTCTGACAAGTTTCGTCAAATAAATTCAAATTTAAAAAAAAGCATGAGCAGACCGCTTGATAGTGAGGGTGTTTCGCCTTTAATACTTCCTTTATCCCACTGCTTTTAAGAATGATAGGTTTGTGTGCAGGACATGGTGTCAAGTTTCATTTGTATTGTGCATAAAGCATTTGTTGTTAATTTTGCATTCTCTATCTCTTACTAGGAAAAACGGGATGAACTGGATAATCTCATCACTGCCATCACTACAAGTGGGCTGCACCCGAGCAAGTGCGTTACCATTCAAAGGACTCTCGATGGAAGGCTCCAGGTACTCATAAAAAAATTAAATATTTAATTTCAATTTTCCTCTCTCCGAGATTCTAGCATTTCAATTTTTTTAACCTGTTCGACTCTACACCCGATTATACTTGGGCTCGGCTCGCCGACTTTCAAAGCCTACTCCTGAGTTTTCTCAGGTTCAGATATCGCTGTGTCTTTTATGCAATTGCGTTGAGGTGGAGATCAATATGAAGGAAGGCATCTGGCGCTATCTGACAGAAATAATTTTGACTATAACTTAAATTAATTTCTGATAGAGTGTGTGCCAATTTGTTTATGTAAAGAGCCGAATTACCTGGATCTAACCCAATGTTGGAGCAAAATTCTCTGAAATAGGTTTAACCCCGTTTTTCATTAAAGTTGAATCTTGATTTGATCGGTCACTTTCTTCTTGAATCATTAGTTTTCAAATCTTTTATTCCTTTAAAGGTACATTCAATTTGAATATGGTCCCAAGCGGTATGAAAAAAGATTGTAAGTGTGGGGTTGTTTAGCATGATCTTCCATTCCTAACCTAGGTCATGGTGCACGCCATGGCTATCTTAACTTAAGAGGGGACGAGTTCCGATCATGGTGTGAAGGTAAATACACCTGCCCCAGGCACCCCTCAATAATTGGACCAGTAACAGCCACAAGTACTTCATCTTTGCACAGAAATAGTTTTAAATGAAAACCTGAAGTGCTTGTGTTGTAATTTGTAAGAGGGCTAAGAAAATTTAAACGGTTTTGGATTGAGGGAAATACAGGAGAGTAACCTTCTAATTGAGGTGAGCAAAAAAGAAAACGAGCAAACCATCTTGTACTTAAAATTTTTTAAACTATAAGTAATTAGTTTGAATTGTCTTTTGAAGCAGTTTGGTCACCGAATAAGAGTGATTTTTAAATGGCTAAAATGATTTATTAATCAACCAATAATTTCATTTAGTCAACTTAGTTAGATTTTTTTTAAAGAATCACTAAAACCCAAATCCCTTTTAATGAAAATTGAATGCGATCTTATCGATCTAATTCAAATGATGCAGTAACACTTATCTGTAATTCCAGGTGGCTGGGAGGAAAGGCTTTCCTCACGTGATTTATGCTCGGATATGGAGATGGCCAGATCTCCACAAAAATGAATTAAAGCACCTAAAATTTTGTCAGTACGCCTTTGATCTGAAATGTGATTCGGTTTGCGTCAATCCTTACCATTATGAACGCGTTGTCTCTCCAAGCATTGGTAAGACAGCTTATTATTTAATTATTTAATGTCCTCTGTTTTCCTTTCAAGGCGGGTTTAACGTGAGAGAGGAACAAAGATCTATCTTCGTTATTATTAGAACGGTTAATGCTAATTATGGGGTGTTGAATGTCTTTCTCAATGTATTCCTCTTTACCATTTGATCATATTCCTTTCACAATTTTCTTTTATAATATACATATACATATATATAACTTCCTCTTTTTTCATCCTAATCGATCTTTTTCGTTTTCTTTATTACTATGCGTAGTGACATGATTTTAATAATGTTTACACTCCTTAGAATTACTGATGCATCTCAAATAAACTTCTGCTCTGACAATCCTTGGTTTAATGAAATCCTAAATTCTTATACCGAATTGCTCAGATTATGGAACTTTTTTTCACCCACATCTACTCCATGATTACCTCAGTCTTGAAAGTTATAAATGTACAATTTCTGCATGTCTTAATGGGCCTGTTGCAAACTTTTGCTAGAGCAAAAATAAGAGTTGTTTCCCACAGATGATGCCTCAAAAATCACGATGAGCGCATCGGCAAAGTCTAAAATGCACTCATAAATTCACAATCTGCGTAAGAAAGTTGCGTTATTTTGAGCTTCCCGCTTCAAAAACGATACTACGCACAGGTGAACATTTTGTAAGAGGAGTCGTTCCATCGTCGGCAATACTCATCATGGCCGACGCCAATCCGCCAAAACACGTGTGATGGGACGAGATAACACCTGAACTGGATTAGACCAGATAACAATCGGCGTGTTTACGTTCATATTTTCCACGCCCGAATTGATTGACTTTGAACTCTCCTCGAATTACACGCGGAACTGCGCGCAAGCGTTAGCCATGCTGAATATCGCCAACGATGGAGCGACTCCACTAACAAAATGTTCACCTGTGCCGTAGTATCGTTTTTGAAGCGGGAAGCTTAAAATAACGCAAATTTCTTACGGAGATTGTGGAGTTATGAGTGCATTTCAGACTTTGCCGATGCGCTCATCGTGATTTTTGAGGCATTATCTATAAGAGACAACTCTTATTTTTGCTCTAGCAAAAGTTTGCAACAGGCCCATTTCTAACTAACTGAGCAGAAAGTAATAAATGCCCAATTTTGTGATTGGTAGATTGCGGGAAGTGTGAAGTAAATAGAGAGCCAAAGGCAATTTTTAAACGTGAGCAAAAGTGTAAATTGTTTTTTGCTCATCATTTAAAAAAAGCAAGCTTGTTTTTCTTTAAAGTTGGACCCTACTCTGCCTATCAAATGAGGCTTCGGGCGAGGCAAAACTGCCTGATCGCAAGAAATTTGTTGATGTTCTGGAATTCGTTGTACCCCTTCAACTGATTTTAGATCGTTACAAGACGTGCACTTTAAATGTTTTCACAATTGGTGTTCTATTATTTCTCTACATTATTTTTCATTGAATGTAACTTTGTTTTCATTCCATCAGATATAGCAGGGTTAAGTCTTTACGGCAGCAATGCAGGGAGACTTAAAGATGAATACAGTGCAGGTTCAAGCACTCCTCCTGCCACAGTTGCTGTTGCATCAAACTCAATGGATATCGATGCTGATACTCCCACAATTAAACACCATCCAACAACTTCTGCCTCATACACGCAACAAGTTCAGCTCCCACCAGGTAACAAGGTTTCGCATTTATTTTAGTTTTTGCTGCCTAAAGTTTGATTGTAGATTAGATTTGTATTTTGTAAGTTCTAGATTCAATTTAGATGGCAGCATGAGACAGACTATCCAATAAAGTGGAATGTGTTAGGAAAGTCAACTGAATTTTTAGGAGAGAAAGCAAGAATCTTTGTTTCTACAGAGGGTGTTCAAAGACTAATGATAATTTCTGTTTTTGAGAGCTATCAAATTTCAGTTCATATGTATTTAAAGTTTTGGTCCTTTCTTGCAAAACAGGATCCAGTGAAGCTCTGCAGGTCAAATATTAACGGATTTCTACTGAATTTTGAAAGTGACATCAGTTCAATTTGACCCTCTAGGCTTTTTAGCTTTTTATTTGAAAGGAATAGGAGAAAGCAAAAATGTATCATTTGGAATGACAGGGATAAATGCTGATCATCTCTGACAATCTTGGCAACAGTGCAAATCATAATTTTTGCCCTATTGCTTCGGTCAGTGAACAAGATTTCTGAAGATTCTCACCGGTTCCTGACCTTAAGAAAAAGTCAAACCAGTGACTCAAGTTACTTCGATCTCAAAGGTTGTCTTCATGAATTCATATAGCTCGTGTTCAATATCTGATTTATACAATTTGACACTGCGTCGACAGTTCTCTCAGTAACGCTTGCCATCGGCTAAATAGATTTGTCACTTGGATGCTTTGTCACCAATTTGAGTTAGTCTGTACAAATTAGCTCTGATTTCTTCCTTTTTTCCTTTTTGAAAAATAGCCTCTAATCCTGGAGGGTCAGAGTGAACATATCATTTCCAAAACTCTGTTAGTCATTATAAATAATGTCATAAACATCCTCGAGTCGTAAATTCGCTTCTTATCTGCTCGTTTATTATTTGCTTTTTGCTTTTCTGAAGGTTTTCGTTATTTTGCCCCCTTTCTGAAAGATCTAGAAATTTTTCAATACTCAATCATTGCTAGGTACATATACTTGTACGGTAACATTCATGAAATTATCTCTTTCAATTTATGGATTGAGTTCGAAGAAAATTTAAAATCATCATTTTGATGCTTCGGGTAACTGAAAAATAAGAAAAAAAATGTTTGCTTCTTCAAGCAAAGTATAATTGCTGAAATAGGAGGATGTTTTAAGGAACTCTAATGATGAGCTAAATTTTGTCTGAGCCTATATTTATCGTTACACTATCATAGATGTTAGTACTGCCCTGACCTTTTCAGATTTTGGGGAACTTAAACGGGGAGGCAAACAATAGGAAAGAAATAATGTCAATAATTATCATTTTTCATACATCCTCATACCCATTTACCATAAACTATTATCATTTTTATTTTTCATCATTGCATTCGAATACCTTTAAAGCTTACCATCATTCATTTTCTGTAGTTATCGTGAAAAAGAAAAGCAACTCTGAAAGATGAGATTAAATTATGATTATTTTTATGTGACTGTAGTCTTGTTGCAACTTTTTCTTTTTCATTTCGTATATGCCTCCGTGTGTTATGCTGTTTGCATGAGATTGTAGAAGTAATGAATGTTTAGGCCCAATTTTAGCGGAGCCTCCTGCGAAAGTGCCTACCCCTATGCCAAATTCGGCATTACCAGTACCATCCAATCCTGTTTCAATGGATCTTTGTCAGCGCACAACATGGCTACCTTCTCCTGTTTCTCATCATGTTCATAGTAAGCATTGTGATGTACTTCTTAGTAAGCTCTAGTACTCTCTCTAGTAAGCATTGTGATGTACTCCTTCTTTCACGCACAATGACACAAAAAAACTGAAGACTTTGAATGACCCGTTAATGTTGGGCTACCACTTTTTTTCGGCATAGGGAACAACAATCAAACAATTGAGTAAAAGCAGGTTAAATTTTATAATGTTTGCGTAAGTGAATCCCCATTGTAGTCAATAACTGAACGTAAATGCCTCAGTTTTTTAAAAGAATGAAAAGAAATCATAACATGCGAGAGCTTCAACCAAAGTTTAAGAAAATTTAACTTCAACTATGTTGTTGCGAAGGTGTTTTTTTTTCTCTAAACTCCCGTAAAAGAATGCAAGGCTTTTCCTATGCATTTTCTCCCTGATGGAAAGTTTCATCATAAATACTTCCTAATGTTGTATGGTTAAGCTGTTCCTTTCATTTTATCCGGCTGGACCCAGATCGCTACAAGAGGTAAAATGAAATCACTTTTCATTTTTGAGCTTAGATTATTTTGAAAACTGAAATTGAACAATTTACGAAACCAAAGTAATTTTTTCAACAATCACTGTTGGAACTGATAAATTTTTTTATGGTAACAATGTGGGTCAATGGTAAGAACATCTATGGAATGGAACGTAACATTAGTTAAATTATGTAATCAAAGTTATCTGATGTCACTCCAAAGTGTGTTCAATCAGATACTGGATCTAGGTCAAAAAAAATTCTATTTACCAAAGAAAATTATTTTTTTTTTTTCCAAAGAAGGCCTACACACCCAAGACTTGGCTTGACCCTCCTTCTCCCTCTCGAAATGCCCGGTATGGCAAGCTCAAACCTCTTACTCCGTTGACTCTTAGCTAGCAATTATGTATGTTCTTCAGCAAGTAAAGGATCAACTTACTGATCTTTATTTTTGCTATGGTGTGCTGTAATAAATTTTGCTAATCAGACAACAGGGAAAATAAATTATGCTGTAAAGTACCAAATTCTTTTTCCTTTAGCTTGTTTATGTTTTTGCATGTAAAGTACTCATTTCATTTTTAACTCGAAGGATGGATTGTTTTGGTCAACGAGAAAAACAACTAATAAAATTAATATAAAAAAACAAAATTTTCTGCCGAGTCGAGAAATTTTTTTGAGAACTGCCGATGATTAAAACAGTTTGTCTGATGCAACTGTTTTTCCTTTTTAAGTTTTTGTAAGCCAAAATGTTGTCAGTCTCATAATTTGTGTATTTTGTTGGAGCCTTATATCGATAGATTGTCATCGAATTAACCACAAATCTCATTTTTCAGGATCTAGTTCTTCAAGCACACAATCGAAATCTGCGCATGTTTCTCCTCAGCCGCAGTCCTCTACATCTTACTTTGGATCCGAAGTAGATTGTAAGTCTGTCTTATCTTTCATACTTTTATCAAACCACTTAATGCTTTGCACTCTACATTTTATTCTCGAAACTCCTGAAACCTCAAAAAATGAGCCACCCTCTATCACATCAGCTTGAGTTAGGAATTGAGAATCAGCTTGTTCACAGAATTTGATCTGGAGTGACAATCATTTCAAGACTGCGTTTAAGAAGTAACGGAGGACATTAAAAAGTGGACCTTACAACAACCACAAAAAAGGTATTTTTTGACCAGCGCGTTAGGGTGTATCTTATTCTTGAGTTTTGCGAAATTGAAGTTTTTCTACCCCTGAAAAGTTTCTTTGTAGTCTCTAAATAAGCCTCCCAGAAGAAAAAACAAATTTAACCTGTGCCTCAATCCAAAATTCCAAAATTGTGGCAAGCAACATATCATTTCTGAAGAAAAATTGCGAGTGAAGGCCTAAAAAATGTTGTCGGTTTTGTCGCACCAAAAATCCACCCTAAAGAACTTTTTTTTCCAGTGAGGACTCAGCCACCAGCTCCAGGCCTTACAAATGGCATAGCAGCAAGTAACAGTGGTCCAAATCATCTGCCAGAGAAAAACGCAGACTTGCAGCAATCTAAAACACAACACAACACTCCACAGGGAACCTGGAGTGGCTCAAGTACTCTCACATATAGCGCCTCAGTACAACCTTCATTTTGTAAGTCAAATTTGTCTTTAATAATGGTCACTGGAAAGTAATATCCGAGGACAGTGTTCATAAATTTGGAAAGTAACAAGGAAAAAAAACACTGTAAATGTGGCTTGAACTGTTTTACTGAGTACTTTTTAGTGCTAAGTTTGAGAAAAATAATATGGAAAAACTGTACTTATTGAAAAACAGAATCCTCCAAAAAACGGACTTCTTACCCAAAATTAGTGTGAGATGGAGAAAAAATACTTTCATTTATGGATTTAAGTATGTAAATAACGAGAAAAAAAGTTGAGACGTGCCTAAGATTTTTATCACTTCTGAAACCAAAATTTTTCCGTTCAGTGTCAGTTTTGTAAACAAGCCATTTGTTCAATGCTGTAAGTATAAAACTTATATGGTGGTCTCACATTTAAAAAGAAGGATAAATGAGAATTACTAGGTAGCTAATGAGATAAATAAAAAAAAATTTCTCCCTCTCTCTCTCTCTCTCTCTCTCTGTTGATTCCAGAGATGACTGCAAATAATTTCCATCACCCAGTAATTTGTGATAAAGTCAATTAAAAAAAAAAAAAAAAAAAAAAAAAAAAAAAAAAAAAGCGTTTTTCCAGCCAAAAAAAATGTTTCTTACATGTATTATGTTGTTAAAGAAAAGTAAAGCTCTGCGACCATTGACAGTTTGAGTCTAAAAAAATATTTTTCCTTTTTGTGTAACGATTTTCACTGATGTATCTGTTTTTCAACAAAGTTATTACTTACTTCCTTTAAAATATGGAAGTCAAAAACAACAAGCAAGATTTTTCTGAGTGCCCTCTGTTTTTGGCAAGATTTTCTAATTCGAGTGGGACAAATTTTTTGCTACAATATCACGAAAAGTGGTGCAGGATTGGACATGTATCGTTGGTGTAAGCTGAAGAAGCACTTGCACCCCAAATTGCTTTTAAATTGGGAAGTGCACATGGTACCCCACATAAGTCTTGAGCTCTTGTAACTGCAAGTGACTTATAAATAATTTACCTAATGAGTGAAACTAGAAGTCACAAGTAATTTTTATTATACAGTCTCCAATCTCAATTGGCACTTCTAAGCTGCTTCATTTCTCTTAGACTTATCCAAGATTTTTTTCTCTTGCTAATCACTGACTTAAATTCTTTCAGGGGCTCACTCAGATATTGCTGTTAGTGCTGGTGGTCTTTTATCTAGTCAACCTGCTCCTGAATACTGGTGTTCAGTTGCATATTTTGAGTTAGACGCTCAAGTAGGGGAAATGTTCAAGGTTCCTTCCTCATGCCCAAATGTAACTATCGATGGCTATGTTGATCCGTCAAGTAGTAATCGATTTTGCCTCGGAGCGCTCAGCAATGTACATCGAACTGAACAAAGTGAAAAAGCAAGGTAAGAGTTCCAAGCTTTGAACGAATAACAACTTTTATCAAATGGACCCAACAAAATTTGCGTACAACTCTCAACCGACTTTTTATCAAAGCAAGCCTTAAAACTGCTTGGCTTAACCCACATGACTATCAGGTCCTTTGAATGGTAAAATGTTTTATCAATCAGACATTAAGATTTCAGTCACACCAAATCATTTTCAAGTTATGATTCTCCTCTATTGGTGCATTGTCATCCTCTAATTCTACGTTGATCCTCTAAACTTCAAAACCATATATTTCAGTTTCTGTGGTTGCTGAGTCCTTGTTATGTCTGTTTTACTTTTTTGAAGGATGACTAACCGTCAATGTTGCTTGATTTTTTTTTATTATTGATTTTTTTCCCCCCGTCTCAAAAATGTAATGGAAATTTTGCACAAGAACGTCTAGTAATTTTCTATTCAGAATTGAGGGAGAAGCAGAAATATTGGAGGTTCAAACTGTTGTATAAAATTATGAGAACCCATACTATCACAGCGGATACATTGAATTGTGTCCCTCATTCAGCATTTTGCAGAGAAGATACATTGCAAGGTATTTTTCAATTTTTAATAAAATTCTCAACCAACTTATTCATGGAATTGGCGACTTTATTTGTGGAATCAAAGTGAAAGGTAAATTCATCCTCTCACAATTTGAAACCTCTTTTGTAAATTTTTAAAGTCTAATTTCAGTTTCCTCCTCTTCTCTATTTTGCCAACAAATTTTCATGAATCTCGAATTTCCTCAATGACTAGTGATGCATAATATTGGAATTTTTACAGGTTACACATCGGAAAAGGAGTTGAACTTGAAATTCGCGGCGAAGGGGATGTCTGGCTCAAATGTTTAAGCGACCACTCTGTGTTTGTTCAGTCATATTATTTAGACCGGGAAGCAGGCAGGGCTCCTGGTGATGCCGTCCATAAAATCTACCCCTCTGCTCACATCAAGGTATTGATATAAGGAGAGATGGCAACTAATTAAAAGTCTTCATCCTCTTATCATCACAGTGTTTAGCCCTCTTCTTTGTGCTAAGAGCAGCTTTATAATTATGTGCCAAGATGTGTCCTCTCATTTGCTCTTTCTTCAGATTTAGTCTTTGGCTCTCTGCTAAAAGATACTCTCTCAGGCGTTTTATGTCAATTTTGTAACCTGCTTTCAAAATCTTGATAGAAACCTCCATTTTCAAAGACAGAAACCCCTAATATCCTCTAAGGAGAGGGGGGGTGGGATGGTGATGGAGTAGATTCCTTATTAGTTTCTGCAGTCGCCGACTTCGTCCGAAATAACCAAGAAAAAAGCTTGGTACGGGTTGTCTAATACCAAGCTCCTCTGAGACCAGTTTTTAATTCTTAAAAATTTGCAATTCAGGTTGAAGGCAGGTTGAATTTTACACAGAACTGTTTGTAAGCCGACAAATCGATGTAGCTATACTCCAACAACTTAGTTTCATTGTTCACTTTTTTTTTTTTTTAAATAAAAAAAGTGTTAAAGTAGAGTCCCTATACACTGAGAGTCAAGACAACCCCCCCCCNCCCCCCCCTCATGGAGTCACAAACGGGAATAAAGATTACCCAAATTGATAGTTTTTTGTAATCTTTAATCGGCTCATTCTCAAATTCTTTTCTCCGTTCTTTCTCTCATTCGGTTTGTTCCATTCTAGATTATAATCGTTACAATCGGTGAAAATGTAATCTTTATTTCTGTTTGTGACACTGTGGAGGCCTAAAATACGGGAACCAATCAGAAATGTATTCACATTGTCTTGACTCTCAGTATAAAGGGACTTATGTTAAAGTACATATTTGCACGATCTTCATAAAAAATGAACTGGTCACTATAGATTGAACTTGTGTACATCACAAGAAATTAACGCATTACATACTATGCATCTGACCTAATTTTTCATGGAATGTAACTTCTGTTTCAGGTATTCGATTTGCGACAATGCTTCAAACAAATGCAGCAACAGGCTGCAACTGCTCAAGCTGCAGCTGCTGCTCAAGCAGCGGCAGTGGCCGGTCATATTCCTGGACCCCATAGTGTGGGAGGCATAGCGCCAGCAATTAGTAAGCACTCATCTTTCTCTTTTGTTTTTTTAATGCCCTACTCCCATCAAAATAGTAGAAATATTGCTGCTTCTGCCATCCAAAAAAGATGTTCTAGTTGAGCTTGCACTAAAGATCTATGTACTAAGTTTTTGCCTGAGTAGCGATTTTGCACGTTGGCATCACTGTTTTTTATCCATTTAAATCCCAGGTGAGGCAGCTTGCCTCACCTGAAATTGAGGAAGTACGGTGTTGTCAACTGTAAAGAATCGCCACCGGTATGCACGGATAGAAATTTTTCTTGAAGCGTGTTAGTAGAATAGGAACAGGGTGTCTAGCATCAGGATTTTCCCGATTCTATCAGGATTTGAGGTCAATCAGGGTCTAATCCCGATTTCATCAGGATTTGAGGAAAATCTCAGGATTTGAAAAAAGTCGGCTGTCCGCTTATTTTCCGTTAATTATTCGCCATCCGTCTGTTTAGTTTTCTCCGCAAAAAATCAGGATTTGGAAAAATTATGGAAACAGGATTTAGCAGTAAAAAATCTGGAAAAATCAGAATTTCCCAAAGTGAAAAAAAAACTAGACACCCTGAGAAATCCTCTCTCCGAAAATTATTTCAATACTCAGGGACTGTTCACGTACTACACATGAAATTTTTAACAACTTTTTGACCCCCCCTCCCTTGTAAAGTACTTCTAAGATAACCCTCTTTCCAACGCCTCTAAGCTATCTTAGACTAGCCTAAAGTCCTCCCCCTCAATCTTCCAGGAAATAACAGGAAAAGTCTGAAATAAATCTGAAAAAAATTTATTTATTCAAATTTTTTTCCCTTAGGTCGTAGGTTTACGCAATCCTAGCAAGGAAAAATTCCCAAACTACCGCCTCGAATCGGGCGGAAATTTATTTTACAGGCTCTTTGGTTGAATTCATTCTGGCTTTTTTTTTGTCTTTTCCAATGCGCTCTGAAAACACAATAAAGAAATTCCGAAAAGTCCGGTTTTGAGCGGACGTCCGACACCTAGTCATGCTGTGCCAGGAGGGTTAGGCAAGGAAAAGCAGCGCTAGAGCCTGTATGAACTAATGATCTTTAGCTTCAATACCCCTTCCCTGGCACTGAAAACTATTTAAAGAAGTCTTATAAAAGAATCCCTTAGACTCTCTGGAACGTTTTGTGTTCGTGGAATTCGTTCCAGGGAAGAATCTCACTTGCAGTGAGATTTTGTTTGTGAAGTTTGGGAAAAATATTGAGTTAGTTAATATGAATTCCATGATGGTCCTTGCACTCTTTGTGGAGATCTAAGACCAACCGAGAGAGGAAGAAGGAGTGAAAGCAAATTGTGTGATAATGTTGTTCACTCGATTGTTCATGTTTCTATCTCTTGAATAATTTGTTTCATTATTAATCATGTTCAACTCTTACTTTAATCCCGGTTACACACTCTAGTTTTACTAATTTACCTTCCTGCACAAACTTGTCGCAGGCCCCGTGGAGATGGTAACTGGAGAAAATCCCAGAAGTTTCATTCCTGCAATTTGAACTCGAGAAAAATCCCATGAAAACGTCTCAGAGAAATAAGGCCTTATTTCAGACACAAAAGAATGGAATTTAACTAATTTATCTCTGCAGGAAGTTCCTGCCAATCAATTTTTGAAGTTTCAACACGTCCATTTCTCTTCAGCTGTTCTAAGTAAAGGATACTATGTATTACATATCCAGTCGTTCAAGTTTTAATTCTTGTTTTCTCTTTGAAGTAATCCTATTTTATGAGGCTCAAACTCTTAACAAATGTTCTAGCATTAAAAGTTGTTGTTTCCAGTTTCATTATTTTTTTAGATTTTCACTAAGCATGTCTATCTTGTTGCAGGTTTAAGTGCAGCTGCTGGCATCGGTGTTGATGATCTGAGACGCTTGTGCATTTTACGTTTAAGTTTTGTTAAAGGATGGGGCCCTGATTACCCACGGCAGAGCATCAAAGAGACTCCATGTTGGATTGAGGTTTGTTTTATATACTGTCTTTTCAAGAAATCGTAGATAGTTCTAAAGAAAAGAATACATGTCAGTCATGAGCCATGTATAAATTATCAGGCAGTTTGTATCGACCAGAAAACTCTAGGCAGATTGTTATAAGCTGGTATAATATTCAAGAAAATGATTTAAAGTGAACAGTGAATGGAACAAGGAAAAAAAATGATGTGCAGTATGTATTTTATTGGCATTTGAAAGATGATCGAAAGAGAAATGAAGAAAGAAAGACAAACTTAAGTGTCATAATTTCCAAGGGACCTATGTAAGTCTGTACCAGACAATTTTAATGGAGGAACTGTAGTAGAAGAGATAATTGTCAGCAGCATTTAAGAAAGGATCTTTGTCAATAACAAAACCTTTTAAAAATACCTCTTTAAAAATGCGCAACAACATAGATGTTAAATTCACAACACTGTCATCAAAGGGTACGATTTTGCCCAAATGATTTAAGACTAATAGATGGAGGCTGAAAGCTGACTCCTTATAGAGTTGTACTAAAATTATAAAAAGTTGGCTTACATTCAACTGTAAAAACAATAATTAAATATTGAAAGAAAGGATATCACATAGTTTTATACTTTCAAGTAATATTACTCACCTCTCACTTACAAAGATTTTTATTGATTTACTAAAGTTTTTTTATTGACACATTATCTTCTTATTAAACTTTTTGTAGGTAATTAAAGTCTTTACTTTAAATGTCTCTGACGCCTTTAAGGTATTAAATGTTTGTTTTATTCAATATCTTTTTTATTCACAGGTTCACTTGCACCGGGCATTGCAATTACTTGATGAGGTGCTTCACACAATGCCAATTGATGGACCTCGTGCCAGCGAGTAATATGTTTTTGTCTATCTGAAAATTTGATTCAGCTTTCTCGGCCAAATTCTCATCCTGTCAACTTAAGTGTACATTTTTGTCTCTTGTCTGATGAATGTGTTTATTGTTGTGCTTTAATGTCGCGGTGAAGTGGGTAGTTTTCCTGTTAATTCACCCAGTTCGGACTTTTTCTGTTTTCCTGATTGTTGTAACTTTTGAAGAAGTTTTTTCTCAGGTTGTTTTAGTATATTCAAACTCTCATAATGACAAAAGTTGAGTCATCTCATAGTTAGAATTTAATCTAAGTTTAGAAACTTGGTGCAGATGTATGTAGCGAAAACACATCTGACAGACTTGTTTTTACTTCAATTTCTATCCCAGAATCCCAGCTTTGGTATTATTTTCAAGTGACAAAGTAAGCTAGTAAATTTTATTCTTTATGCTATAAGATTTAGATTCCTGACCTTTCTTGGTTTTTTTTTTTTTTTTTATCTGCACAAAATCTAGAAATATCTCATGATTCTTTCTAAATTTCCTACAAGGCAGAATACTACGGCCCTCATGATTAGTATCTGAAATTTCTTGTTTCGTTATTTTATCCATCTTTCAGTCTTTATACAAGTTTTTTCTTTTTTCTAATTTTTAATTTTTTTAATTTTCATTTCATAATGAAACTTTCTTTTAGCTGTGCTTTTGCTATTTTTAAAATTGTGTGTTTCACCATTTTCTAATCAGTGCAATGTCCGTACTATGATATTAAGATTGTTAAAATTATATGAAAACAGTTGAAAAAGCAGGTTGGAGGGGAATCAAGCAAGATTTCAAGTAGCGTAGTCAAAGTTAGCTTTAAGTGAGAGTGAGTGGTGAAGTATTTTGAAATATTGAGCATCTCAAAGTGTCACTCATGTACCTATCTTTAATTGACATTGCAAGCTATTGCTCCAAGATTTTAACGAATCACTGAGAGGAACTTACCAACCTGGTAAGTAACAATGAAGTAAATTCAATGCAGCCTCTAAAACTTTTCTCAGTCTCAGGTTCAGTTTTAAAACTATGTTAAATCTTTTTTTGTGGTTTGACTTACTTTTACCAATAGACAATGACCTTTTTGATCTTCATTTTTCATTTTTTAATGATGATACGTTTCCAATATTTTATTCTTAAGCATGTTTGTCTCAGCAAGTTCAAAATAGCAGTGGCCATAAAATGGGCATTGTTCCTAGTTTTAATTGAATCTTTGCTGTAAATTATTTCTTGCCAAATTATACAAATTATTCTGTACCTGTCAAATGAATATTTTAAGAAATGTTTATGTCAGCAAGTGTAATTTTTGATAGATCCTGTCTTACTTTTTGTCGAAGAATGTTTCTTGCAAAAAATTATTTTTGGTAGAGTTATTTTCATAAAGGCAACGTTCAATCATCAGAGGCTTTTTTAGAGTTTGGAAATTTCTGCTCAGACCAGAGAAGTTCATTGTTGTCTGTAATTCTTCACAAGAACTTTTCTGACCGCTGAAAATATTTCCACTAAATTGCCTCAACCACATCCGGAGTTATCTATTTTCTATTCGCATTGTTTGCCAAACACTACACTGATGGACACAATAGAAATTCGTCTCTTGGAATTTTACTGGGAAATCTAATTTTTAATGAGAGTGCAATTTTTCATACCTCTTGAAAGTTAGTCGCGACAACAAAACATATTTTGTACCCTTGCTGAAAGTACCTACTTTTTTATATTATTTTTAAGTTTTTAACCAAGCACAGTTGTACCTTCAAATAATGTTTTGATGAGTTGATTTGTATTGGATTGTGTAGTTGCAGTTGCCTTTTAAAATCGTCCTTTAGAGGTTATACTCCTCTCTTGAGGCTCGCTCTTGAACAAAGCTCAAAAAATCTGACTCAAGCTACATTGGTGTCTCAAAATTTTTGAATAGTTTTAAAGACATCTTTGACTATTAAACTCAATATTTTTTATGGAATTTTGTATGTACTTTGTACTTAATAAAGTAGTTATCCATTTACCTGTTTTTTAGTTTCTTACAAACAGATCCCTGTTATTTATTCCATTTAACTATTTTTGATTGCTCCTCAGTGTGCAGATAGCATTTTAAATTTGACATGAAAGCTTTGGCTGTAACAGTTGGCAACTTTTCAGCACAGACCTTTTTCGAAAATAACCAGTTCTTGCTAGTGAGAATCAATACAGAACTGTATCTCCAAGAGTACTGCACAATGAAAATTCAAAAAATTATCCTTGGCCAAATCAAGGGTGAAATCTAAAATGTTTGACTGACTTCTAAGATTTAACAGAAAATCTACCATCTACATCAGTATGGTTATTGCTAGAATTAACATGTTGATTTCTGCCGCTCTCTGTATGTCAAGTGATCATGATAGTAAGTCAGGGATCCATCTTTTTGTATGAAAATGATAAAAATTGAAGTTGATTTTAGCTGTGGATTTTTTGAGGATGTAAGTTTTGTACCTATTCATTTCAAAAAAAAAAAAGAAAAAAAAAAATAGGCGGAACTAGAGCTTTGCAACCCTGATGTAACCAATGCTACTTGTTGAAATATAGGGCTGTCCCACCGTATCCATAGAATAATGGCTACTATTCTAGGTCGCATCTAAAAGTAGGGGATACGCCACAAAGCAGCGTTCGATTTATTTACTTATTTTTAGAAAGATAGAAAAGAAATCCCTTTTTTTGCCCCTATTTGTTCCGACTTGAAAACTGGTACATTTACTTCATTTTAACGCTTTCGAAAAGTGTGAGGGCGTATGTTATTTTGCTTTTTCTAATTTTATTCATTCCAGGTCCACCTTCATTCCTAGTGACTAGGGAAACCATCATCTAACGGTGAAACTGCAAAAATGGGAGTTGCGTATGCGATGTTTTGAAATCTTTGCTCTCACCTATTTTATTTTTTAAAAGGAAGGAGACCAAACCAATATCATGGCTCAAAGTTTCCTCAGCATATCGACGGTGCAAGTCGGCAATCACATAACTCGGTTTGCGACGTCGCAGACTTCCTGTCATACTTTATTTTTTAGACGGAAAACTACTCAACGGCAATTCTTTAAAATTGCCATGATTCTTCTTCTCTGTGCGAAGAAAATTCTGCAGAAACGTCAAGGAATGATGTCAATTTGTTCTCCTTTAAAAAAAAAACATCAAGGCGGAGATTTTCAGACACCGCAAACGAGATTTGTGATTGCCGACTTGCACTGTCGATATGCTTTGTAAAGAGGAGAAAAATTACTGAAATTTTAAAAAGATGACGTTCAATAGTTTTCCATGTAGAAAATAACTGTAATCCAAGACGGGCTCATACGTAATACTGTGCTTTTCCTTAAAATTAAATGTTCCTTAATTTGAACAGCGCGCCAATCCATGTGACGTCACAGCGATGGCAGAGGCTCAATAATAACATAAACATAACCTTCAATAATGCTTACGGACTGGTGCAGGGTGCACGTTGTAAGCTGTATACTTTGGTTTTATGATGTGAATTCAGTGAATTATACATGAATGTTATACTTTTGTGATTTGATGAAGGTGTGGAACACATTAAGTATATATTTTTGAGAATATGAAATTTTAAAATAAGCCTCTGAGAAAGCACAATAAGCAATCAAGTGAAGATGTAACATTTTTTCTTGCTGCCAGTTTCTAGATTCCATAAAACTACATCTATCTCCGAAGAGCCTGCGTTCTTATTTAATTTCTCAATCCATTTTAATCTCTGTCCTATACAATGTCCGGGAAAGGAGTGAAGCGAAAGAAAAAGCATGGAAGTTTTGTGTCAAAAATGAAGAAGTATCATCGCAAGGGCTCTGTTGGTCGAGGAAATCACATTGAAGAGGAGACATATTTATATTTTCTACGCATGTACGAGGCTCAGAAAAAAGGATTTGATTCAGAGGATGATAAAAGTAAGTACAGCTATCGTAATTGCTTACTGTGTACTACCGAGTTTTACGCATGTAATGTACAATGCAGTGCATTCGTGTGCATTAGTGTTGATTACTTACGGAGCTTGTTCAGAACTTTGTAACTGTTCCTGAATAGAACAATATCAAGAAGAATGGTTTTTATTTTGAGATTTTTGTTATTATGATGTCTGCAATACCTCTCTTTCCCTGATAGGTAGTTTCAAAACTACGTAATTAAACTTCTTTGCCAAATTCTTTGTACTCACAGCGCTGACACCCTTCTCAACCATCTGTTCTTAACATTGCCTTTTTTTTCACATTTTCAAGCTTTTATGATTTATTATCTTGTCATAGTGCAACGCCTGTAACAAAAATACTGGCCATGATGAAATAGGGCTTTTTTTATCCGAACCACAGTGGATCGCAACGGAACGCATCTTTTTTTTATCACGTTCCACTGGCGCGTTCCATGTGTTCCAGTGGAACGCTTGAACCACTCTTCCGAGGTAGGTTGAGGTTGGTTCAGGCTGGTTGAACCAGCTCGAACCGCTACCATTGCGTTCCATGGGTTCCACGGATATTTAAAAAGTCCTAATGTACAACACCTCGGACCAGGTTCAAGGTAATCTGTCAAATTAAGATTGACTTTTTTTTTTCTCTAGGCGCTTTTGTGAACAATTTTTTGGAAGAAATCAAAGACCATGAAATTGAATACTCCAAGAATCAAATTGGATCAAGACTCATTGAGGCTCTTTTACCAGATGCTGCACCTGAAAACCTTAAGACCTTTGCAGAAGCCTTTATGGAAAGTCTCAGACCCATTTGCTGTGATGAATTTGCAAGTCACGTCCTCGAGGCACTCCTTAGAACAGCCTCTAGCCGGAGTAAATTGGTAACTTTTAAGCTCTCTTTTAATGTACAAGAAAGCCAAAGTTTAGGGAAGCGTACTTCCAGGACTCTGTGGTCTTGCAGAACCTAATTCTCACAGTAAATTTTATAAAATGTTCAAAAAATTTTAACCCGATGAGGGGTTAGAGGATGAACAGAGTTTTTAAATGAATCAGTTTATTAAGCATATTACGTCCAACAATATCAGAAGATTACATCTATTTAAAAACAATCAGCGCTAATAGTAATTCCTCATGGACACACAAGAAGCCCTCTCCAGCATTTTTTAAAGATAACCCACTTTTCGTCTCTAATGACTGCACTGTATGGTAGAGCCATTCTATTATAAAACATCACTGACTTATTACTATAAAAGGTGTCCCAAAGTCTTGTCACTGACTCTCGTATGAGCAAATAAATGAAACCAGCTAAATGCAAATTGAAAGAGCTTAAAGATCATTTCATTAGCTTTTCTACAAGTCTGTGTTGAGCTTTTTTGGTCAAAAATTCACCGAGACACTGCTTTTTAACGCGGCATGTTTGCGTAACCTTTTGGAAAATTTTACACCTTTTTTTTTTAAAAAGAAGAAAACCAAAGCTGACTGACATTAAGTTCCGTCAAATAAGAATGTTGACAGCCAATTTTATCGTACAGTGTCACTAACTTTTAAAAGACATCAGTGAGAAACGACCAGAATTTATACCATCTTGAATATTGCATCAAGATCATGAGTTTCTGTTTATTTTGAACATTTCAGGAAGGATCATGGCAAAGCAAGGTGTTACCCTGCAGCCGAAACTTGGTTCTCTGTAGTTATTGGCTCTTTCCAGAGCTATTAAGAAATTTGAAAGGAGAAAATTTTTACTCAGTGCAAGATGGAATTAATGCCACCCAAAAATTTTATATTCTCAGACAAAGGAAGATTTTTAAAAGACAGTCCACATCAAGAGAAAACAACACCTTGAATTATGCATAAAAATGTAAATATTTAGGGAAAATAAAGGAAAGGATCATCAGATAAAAAAAATAACTTTGATCAGAAATCGTAAGAACTGTGCAAAATCAATTAATTATACAACCTATCCAAACTTAAATTTTTACTTCTTTTTTCTTCCTCCATAAAGTCAGGTTGAAAATCTCCCAGGGACTACGCAAACACGTCCAAATTCACCGAAATGCAAGAAATTATCTTCAAGCTTGCGCCACCCACATTTTGCTTTTTTTGCACTTCATATGTTCACTTGCACATGAACCAGTGACAAGATTTTTGGGACACCATAGTTACTTACTGATGAAAGATTTTTTTCACTTCCATAATTATTTTACTCTGGAAAGTAGTTTATTCATACTCTTGATCACATGTTTTGTCACAGGTGCAGAATGCAAATGATAAGGAAGAACCGGACATGCAAATATGGGACGAATATTTTCAAAACTTGGTGTCGAAAATAAGCAAATTCATGTTGAATAATCTGGAGGATTTTGTTTGGGATAAGTTTGCTAACCACGTTCTTAGAACTGTTTTCATTAGTCTAGTCGGCGGAGTGGATGCTCGCTCTTTGAAAGCCTCTTGCCAAGCAACAAATCAGAAATCAGAATCAATCCTCAATGTAGAGCATAAAATGATTCTAAAAGATTTTGCCAAACGTTTGATGATGTGGCCTCAACTGGGAGATTTACCGTTTGAAGAACTGACATCTGGATTACTGCAAATACTTCTCTTGGCTCTACACAAGTCTGCAAGCAAATCGACCCTTAAAAGTATCCTCAATGCTTTGGTGGATAGCTATATGAAGTCAAGCACGAATGAATTATTATTTGCCAATGACACGAAAGAATTTGAAAGTGAAAAAAAAATGAGCTTTGTTGAGATTCCTTCAGTGTTTGAATATGAGCCTGCAGTTCATTTATTTGAAGTGATGATCACTGTCGCTCCTCACAAGTTGTACACCCAAATGTTTGCAAAATTTTGCATGAATAGGATAGCAGCCCTAGCTATGAACAAAAAGACTAATTTTATCATTCAGAAGTTGCTCCTTAGCTGTCAAGAATCTGCAGAATTCGAGTCAATTTTCACTGAGTTGGAACCTCATTTAGCCTCAATTTTTCAAATCGGCCATTCTGGAGTAATCTTATCTTTGTGTCAAACAGGACAAAGGTTAACTGTCAAACAAGGACAAATTTTACAGGTACTGTGTTGAACCTTACCTATAATTCTTAGCTCGTAAGGGGAGGTAAACAAGTGTGTGACCTAGGGCTGTTCAATCGGTTGTCGGTAAGCTACCGAAACAGTTCCGTTAAGAAAAAGTTATGATAAGAGCGCTCTTGTCGATAGCGATCAGAGTTTTCGGAGCTGGCGAAAATAAGCTGTTGCCATTTGTGCATCTATTTTACGCGCCGCCGCGCTAGGCAATCTGATAAACCGACACACGGGGCAACAATGCATTGAGTGCGAGCTCTCAAAAATCCGATAAGGCCGGCTGTTGTCGATATCATCGCTACTGTCGGTACTGCGCCAGTTTCAATAAGAGACGATATCGATAGTGTTCCGGCAAGAATTCGTTTGAACACCCCTAGTGTGACCTGGATTTGAGCAGTATAAAGCCCAAAGTATCTTCATAAAATACTGTGGGATCCCTGTAATGCTTCTTTCGCAAATGGACCTTAGGAGGTCAAAATATTGGCAAAGGCGGTCACTAGACATCGTCACACATGGTGGCTTAGAACATTTTACCGTGGTCGAGGGGTTTGGAGTTCAAACCTCAACATTCTGGCGTAATTTTTTTTGTTCCTTTGTTTGTTAAGTTTCAATTTTCTCTTACTTTCTCTTATCTATGTAAGCTACTTTCTTTGTTTTCACTGCAGTTGGGATAAACTAACTAAAAATGAAAAGAAATCACAGGGATGAATAATTATTATATGACAACGCCGGGAATAGAATTGCAGAGCTTTCTACCAGAGGATCACTTTTTTAACCTTGGCGTTGCCGCATGGCTAGGACGGTTGAAGTATCCTTTTGCCACATCAGCAAGTAGTCCTCTTTGCCAATTTTTTAGTTTGAAAATTGTTTGAAACCTCCGAGTGCCAAAACAGATGGGCCATAGAGATTGAAGGTCCGCAGCGAAAAAAGAGTCCAACAGTTAGTATTAAGAAACTTTTAACCATACATGCTCTAATAGAAATCAAAATGGGGCACCTGTGACCTCCCATTGTCAGTCCAAAAACTTAATGTCACTTCGAAATAATGAACAAGAGTTAGATGTGAAGCACCTTTCAGATTAGAAACAAACACTTTGACATCATTTCATCAGTATTAGTGCTTGTTTCTGTAAAATAGGGATACTCATTACAAAAGGGAAAAAACTCATTTAGAGTCAATTTTACCTTTTAGAGTTTCGCTGTACCGCTGTTAACAAGCATCAATTGCTATGTTGTAATGTCAAAATCTTTGTCTCTAACATTAAACTAAGTATGTAATTTACACTTATTTGCCTCTACTACGTCATTTGACAGACTATCCTACCAACACAAACCTATTAAAAAGGTGATAAGTTCTCTGTATGAAATTAATGTAATTTCTTTTTTCTGTGTAATGGTCTCATGTATTTGGCTCAGTTGAAGAATTGTTTTGACCAGCATAGCTGGTACTTTGTTTTTGAATGAGCCACCGTTGTCCATGTTAAAAATCGCCAATAATACCTAATATGACAAGGAAAAAGAACTATCGCAAAGATCAGGCTTCTACTTGGAATACACACTTGATTTCAAAACTAAAATGTACATGGAACAAACAGAGGGTCAGTAAAAACACATGATTTTAAGTTTATAATGGGTTCAAATTTTTCGGAAAAACACCTTCAATTCCACTTTTTAATGTAACACAATGCTAAGAGACTCACTGAAACAAAGAATAAATACCTTGAAACAACTCATATAAAAATTCTCTCGGTCGCATCATATTAATGGCCAAAGTGCAAAACAATGTATCTCCATCGCGGTGTTTCAAAATTTCCTTTCCTATTTTATTTTTTCGAAATGGAATGAGTTAATTATTTGGTTTAAAATTACCATAAAAAATTCTGGTAGCAAAGAAAAATCAAGGAAGTTTTCAGGAAATTATATTGACTAGTTTTTCACGGAAAAAATTAAGTACGGTAGGAAGTCTGTAATGTCGCAAATGGAGTTATGGCTGTGTCGCACCTAGGCCATCGATATCTTTATGTCTTCCAGAAGGAGTATGCACAGTGAAGTTATCATCAAGGCTTCCACCTCATCGCAAGTTTTAATGAACTTTTTTTAAAACGCGAATCGATTTTTCAGAACTTGCAGAAGATTTTGAATTGCTATGACCCAAAGGACCGACAGATGTTGTTTGTACCGCTACTAGTCAGCTTGAAGACGTATGAGGTTTATCAAGAGGAAAAAGAAGAGGATAAACCTCTCATTACAAACATGCATGGTTGTCTTATTCTTCAGGCTATGCTTGCCTTTAATAAGCCGGCACAGGTAATGAATCGTTTTTAAATCTAGACGTAAGGTTAGCTCAAACTAAACCTCATATGCAAGAAACAAGCTCCCCCCCCCCCCCCCNGACTAAAAATCTGATAAAAAAGACGCAGAAGTGGGTACCTGATCATTTCAAGGAAATAAGTTTTCTTTAGAGGCCCTAAAATTAGAGACCCCAGAAATTCTTTCGCTTGATTTGCATAAATTAAAAAAAAAAAAAAACTGGTTTTAAGCACCAGGATGGAGCCCAAAGGCACCACAGAGTTCCACTGATTTCGTATATGTAATCGAGAATTTCGAAATTCAGTGCGAATTTCAAGAATTTCGGCAGTTGGCGCAAAGTAGGATGCAAATTTGGCAGGATTCACCACAAAGTTGTGTATTCCGACATATTTTATATCGAAATGTGTTTGTTGTTCGTTTAAAGTTTCTCAACAAGTTTACAATTTTACATTTTTTTTCTTTAAGGAGAAAAGCTTACTTCGTGATCTGAAGATCCGTCTGTTTGATTTTTATTTATTTGAGAACAATTTTTGAAGCTGTATATAAAATCCGTCAATTTTTCATAATTTTGTTTAAAATGATAGAAAAATAAGAAAATGCGATAAGCATCAAACAAGAATTTGGCAGCTTACAACGAGAATTTTGCGATTTTTAGGGAGAAGTTTTGATTTTCAGCAAGAATTTTAGGATTCGTAGCTAGAATTTGAGGCATGCAGTAAATTTAAAGCAAGAATCTGGCAGTTTTCTGGGAGAATTCGGGGCATTTCGAATCTAGAAAAGATGGGGTCTCTACCCAAAATATAAAAAGGGAAAGTTCAAGTTGACATTTTCAAATGATAACTTCAGTTTTGAACGTTGTCAACAGCATCATGTTGAAAGCGGTATCACTTTTAAGCTTTGAGAACGTATTTAAAGTACAGATGGAGAATGAGGAAAGATTTATAGAGAGTCAGATATAATATTACGACAAACTTAAAAAATGTACTGAAGTTACCCCAAAAAATTACTAAATTGAATTGAATCACTACAGCCAGATGTCTAAATTGGGTCGCAGATATGATATAATTGACAAATTTTGGTCATATTTATACTCAATCATCAAAATTCAGTCACAGTTGGACTAAACTAAGAAGGGGAAAAAAACTCAAGTACTTAGGTAATACTGTTGGAAAAAAAAATTGCTTCGAGAGTAGCTTTGAGCTCAATTCACATGCTCATTCCTGTCATTAATTCAAATTCATGGAAAAGTAATTTGAATGTAAAATTAATATGATTGAACTTAATTTCAAGAATCTATTCTTCTGGAAAAATATAATTTTAAGGGTCCTCTCCTTGGTTCCAACTCGTTGTTGTTTAGTTCTATTCTGCTGAACTTAGTCCAGGTGAGACCTGAAAAACACGAGGAAACAACCCTCATTCTTCGACATATCCATGTCAAGAATCAAGTTTACTCATTGAAGTTTCAATCTGAGTATTCCAAAATGTTCCAGATCATCAATAGCATGCTGTCAATGACTCAAAAGGATTTACTGGCATTATTCTGTGATAGCAAGGGCTGTCATATCGCTGAAGCTTTTCTACGTAGTCCAACTGTGGGAGCTAAAAGTCGCGAAAGACTATTCAAAATACTAAAAGTGAGTACAAGGGAAATATTATATGTTATCCTAAGACTTCCTTTAATTTTCCCCTCTGCTAGTAGAATATTCTGTATGAAACCCAAGCTGTAAAGTTGACTTGTCCTTCTCCAAACAAGTTAACTACGAGCGGAGATTTTGAAACATTGAATTTAAACAAAGCCATTGTTATTCCACACTATTCTACAGGGATTCTCTTTTATTCAGATGTTAGAGCGTATTACAAGATAATAGAACCAAGCATCAGTGGTTTTTACTTTCAATACACAATGATTGGTATCAAAAGAGAAAAGACAAGGGTGACTGTCAGGTCTGATTATTAATTTTGAGGAGTTATTCACTAAGATTATTGTCTCCGATCTTGTTTCAGCTCATATTTTTACTTGAGAGCGAAATGCACAACGCCTTTTTTTTTTTTTTTTTTTTTTTTTTTTTTTTTTTTTTTTTTTTTTTTTTTTTACCTTAAAGTCCCTTAAAAAAATGTACTTTTGCTTTTTCCAGGATTCTTATGCAGCGCTTTCCTCATCTAAGTATGGTTCCTGGGTGTTCGAAGCCCTTTGGGAGGTTGTGGACACTAAGCAAAAAATTAGTTTAATGGAAGAGCTCATCTTGAATGCGTCAGTTTTAGAATCAACAGAATTTGGAAGCATAATCTCAAGTAAGGTCAGTTTGCAGACTTTCCGAAAAAATCGAGAGGCGTGGATTCAAGCTCAAAGTAGAGATTCAAAGAAAAAGAAACTTTTTGAAGACATCCTCTGATTCTGTCTCTGAGGCCTTTCATTAGGTTACGATCTATTTGTGATTATCTTTCAGCTCGTCTTACGGGTACGTCCCTGCAAGAGTGCACTTATTTTATTTCCTTCGAAAGAAAACCATGTTTTCGGGGTGTGCACTTTTTCTGTTGGCTGTTTCTCTATGTCTAATTGACTTTTTAGCAAAATCCTCTGGAATACTGACAGACCTTTTCCTCAAATGTTGAAAACACTCCTAACTCAATTTTCACAAATACTGCATGTATGTGCGTTTTCCTGCAAACACCTCAAGTATGGTTAATTTTGGAAACATTTAAGCCAGTTGCTTATGTAATAAATATACATAGTCAAACTTTTGAAATGGAGTGCATTTAATGTCATTCTCTATTGAACATTACATTCTTGAGTCAAAACAACCCACTAAGGCTCAAAAAGTAACTGTTTTCGAAAATGTTGCTTTGCATTCGTTCACTATTTGTATCTCACAGTCCCAAATCCAAGTTTGATTCAAATTGAATTAACCTTAGGTAAATAAAGAGTCACTGACCAAATTAACTCGTGATTGCAATGATATTTGTTATCTTGTGGGATACCTTCGTAGTGTCAGTTAAGTAACTATTGACAGCTGTGGTTGTAAAGTTTCAGCACATTCAATGTAATTAAAAAAAATGATTTATGCAAAATGAATTGCAAAAATATTTATAAAAAAATGTTAAATTGAAAGCTTGGTTCTACTTTTCCTACATCATTCATCGTCACATTTGGTGAGCTGTACTGTACTTTTGGTCCTTGTTTATCCATCTCCTAAACATTTAAATACTCAAGTTTTACCTTCGTATTTGTAACTGGCTCCGATATACGTGGTTTTGCTTGTTATGAGAGAAGGGACAGTCAATGTAAAGAGCCCATTCATAGAATTACTCAAATGCAACTGTTTCTACAGTGTTTCTGGTACAACGGTTCTGGATTCTAACACCTCCCCCTTTCCCCCAGTTGTCCTCTTTGACCCACCATTTCTAGCTCATTTTAGGAACCACGCATGCACTATTAGTTTCTCCGTGCAGATCTAGGTGCCTCCATGGTCAAGTTAGAAATAGAAGCTCCTGCCACTGACCAAAAAAAAAAAAAAAAAATGTTTGAAATTCTTTAAAAAAAGACCTGTCCAAATGTTTGTCTTAGGAAATCCTTATCAATTTCGGTTGTTTCTTTAAAATAAATCGAACTTTTTATGAGATTTACTTAATTAAGTCTTTAAAAATGACTTTTTTCTATGAGTTTCAAAAGTTTTCTAATAGTCAGTGTTATTAGGGTCATCACAAAATGGAGCCCAGCTAGATCTGTCCACGTTACCAAATATTCACGAACTGAACGGATAAAACTTCATATCACAATGTGTAAGCACAGTTTCTCTGCTCATTTAGCAGTTGGAAATTATTTTTGAAAAATTTGAATATCTCAAAAACGGGAAAGGGAGAAAAAAAAGTTAGGCATTCCATGATTTCAAAATATGTAATCTCTATCAAGCATATGTTTAATAACTTCTTGCATATGTTTTATTGCCTCCACGTGGACTGTCGAGTTGGCCTCATATGGTTGGGGAATGCCTTTTATTTTATGTACCATCATCGGCACATATAGCGAGCATTGATGATAGCCGGAGATCCCACTCCTCCGCAAGTCCTGGTTAACCGTTTCGAACGAGGGTGCATGGGGCCGCTTAGCCATCATTTGAAGTACAGCATCTACAACACACATATAGTATCAGCTGGAATCAGTTTTACGCAAATTCTCAAGCCTTATCTTTCTCGCCAATGAAGTTGAGGCACCTCGAAGACCGAAGGAAATCCATTTCGTGTCATTCATAATTGGACTTTATTTTGCAATTAGGAACTACAATTTCTGGCTTATCTCTGGAAACACTTCCGAACATAGGGAAACTAACGTTACTTACGTTGTTACTAAAATTAGTCTGAAGCTGTAGTTCCGAATTGCAAACTGTAGTCCAATTTTAGTGCCATACTTGACACCTATCACTAATGACACACTCATGGCTAATCAAAAGCTGGTTAGCATCTGAGCCTTCAAAAATTTAGAATGTCCTCCAAGCAAAATCACTGTTGAAGATCAGAATTTCCACCCATTGAAGAACCCTTTCGAAAATCCTCCCTCAAGAAATTTTTAATCCGGAAATGCATTAGGTAATAATACTCTGGCGTCAATGGAATGTCAACCGCAAGTTTGACAACTCTTCAGTCAAATAAGATTGGTTATTTTTGAGAAGTCTGATTTGTTTAGGTTACAGAAGTATTCTATTTCTAAAGTGTGAGTTTTGGACGTTTTGAAAGAATGGATGGGATATAAGTAGAAAGGTTGATAAAGAGAATGCTTGAAAGGGTTCTCAGAGAAGACGAATGGGATGCCCAGTAAAAGAATGGCGACAGGCGGTTTTGCAAGAAATAGGTCGTGCAACCTCCCCAAAAAAAGGCTAGTGGAGGATAAGGGACTTTGGTGGCTAGGTGTTGCAGAGCGCTGTGAAAGCGGCTCTTATGCATGTCTGGATGGGATGTGTGTTGCAAGTTTGACGGAAATCATCTCAAATAATCATTTATCTCTCCTCGGTCGCATTTTAACTTACTTGTCATAGTATCACTGAATTAAGCCTAATCTACTGCAACATGTACGAGAAAAGCAGGCAATTAGCATTGCAAAAGAATTGCAACTTATTTAAATTTTATTGCAATAAATTTCAAAAAGAAGATCCCCTTCAATTAGCAAATAGGCAACATACACAATACACCGATCCAATAGCACCCTGGTAAAAATTGGCAACAAGAGCTGCGTTTCAAAATACCATAAGAATTCTTATGGCCGGCTAAAGAAGGCTACAGAAAATCATATAGCTGGATGTAGAATGCGGAGAAAATCATACGGCCGGGCTATATGAAGCGATAAAAAATTATGCAGCCGGGCTTTACGCTTTAGCGCCTGGCTGTTGCTTTTTCGCCATCGATTATAAAAGGCCATAAGAAATTGTGTAGAAATTCGTGTGAATTGGAAATCATTAAGTTTGATACGGATACACCTTAATATTTACAAAACACACGTTATATTTTCCTTTAATACATATATTTTTTCATCAATTAAAACGAGAATAATCCATACAGGATGTGCAAACATTTCAAAATCATGAGTTGAATAACGCTGACTCCGCCAGATTAAATATTATAGCCTAACACAAAGCGGAGCGGCGACGCACTGGCGCCTACAAACCTAACAGGGATACTTCACGCGTTCCGCACTGGCGCCTACAAACCTAACAGGGATACTTCACGCATTGCGCAACGCGTGAAGTATCCCTCTTAGGTTTGTAGGCGCCAATGCGCGTTTCGCGCTGGCTGCCCGCCTGCCGCACCGCAGCGTGCCACGGCGCTTGAAGCAAATATTTCACACCATAAGTATTGCACAGTATCATACGAAACTGAAGGCGCTCTAATATATTAGGAATGACAGGCATCCATCAAAAGTACGGAACTTTACTCGCAAAATAAATCAAGATACTACGGCCCAAAAAGAGAGCAGTGGTCCAAAAACTCACTAAGTCCTAGCATCCGTAATTCGTGACTACACTTAGCACTTAGCATACACTTTATCGCCTGGCTGTGAGTTGCTTAATCGCCATCGGCTATAAAAGGCTATAAGAAATTGTGTAGCCGGCTGTAGAAGCTATTGGAAATCTTACAGCCGGCCGTAGGTCTATGGTATTTTGGAACACAGATTCTACTGCCAATTTTTACCAGGGCAAGTACTTCACCATGTAATCGCCATTCATCGCAAACCCGCGCGCTACTTGGGGAGGAATTTAGTGGAGCTTACCGTGATAAGTTCGGATAAAATGTTCCCAATGATCCCTCCTCATCTCGGTGGAGACATTGCAGAATAAGAATGAGCTCGTATCGATCGCCGGCGAGCAGTACTTGATCGTGCCGAAGTCGAAGAAGGCCACTTCGATTGGTGCCCCGTCGGGTCCGTATTTGAACATCATGTTGTTTCGGGTGAAATCGCCGTGAGCTATGACCGTCAATGGCCCTGAGCGGTCGCTCGAGTATTTTTCCATTTGATCGCGCCCTCCTTTACAATGACCAATCAGGTCTGTCAGTCTATCTTGGTACTCAGGCTCCACCTCTAAAGCTTCCACCCCTCGGAGAAAAGCTGTCGCCCAGAACTGGAAAAAGAAGTTTCTGCATTGAAAAAAAACTCAGGTCGTGGAAGCCGTACTTACGGGCTATATAGACATACACGTCCGCGTTCCGGGCTCAGAGGCCGAAAGTTCCAGACGGAGCACCCTGAGAAGCGAAAGCTACGGCTCCCAACACCTGGAACTTTCGGCCTCTGAGCCCGGAACGCGGACGACATGTCTACATTGTCAGTAACTTTTTTTTCAGTGTGGTCTCGCATGTTAGAATCGATGGAAATGAAATTGAGGCGTTGGGTGCAGAAACAACATTTCCTTATTGCGGTTTTTTGGAATCTCCACTGTTACTTTATATCTTAGAAAGGAAACTATCGAGTGAATTTTCTGAAATGTTTCGGTTCCAGCATCGTAAAATCATTAAGAAAATTCAGGAAAAGTTACAAAGAGTTCTGTATATTTGCTCTAATTATAGTGGATGAAACTTAGCGTCAGTGGAGATTCTGAGACATCGCCACCAAGACATACCCTTTCTGCACCCAATGCTTCAATTTTAGGTGGACTGACAGGTTTGTCGGCGGTCTGGAAAACCAAGGAATTTACGATGACCGGAAAAAGTTAGAAATTTCTGACACATGCACTAATCACCTGAAAACATATCACTAATCTCCCAAATGTTAACCTTTTTGGGTCGTTTTTAAGGCCTTGCCAATTGCCATTTTTCAACCAGCTACTGTATACCTGTATCCATAATTTGGACGTATTTCTGTCGAACGGAACTAAGCGCCATCGGGGTAGGAAGGTAGAGGGGAGCTTGGATTGGCGGCGGAACCAGGCGTCGCGTCGGGCTCATTCCTTCCTATACTCGCAATGCTTTTCCAAGGCGCTTAGTTCCTCTTGACAGAACGCGCTATCCGAGATTCTAAATTCCTCAAAAGGAACTCAAATTCGCGCTTAGTTCCGTTTGACAGAAATACGTCCATTTGATCTCTAAAGTAGGATCAGAATGTGCTCGATCTCTAGATAGTAAGTGGACACCGGACGTGTGTACTCTGCAGCAGGCGCAATATAGGCAATGTGCACATCGGAACGTGAGTGTAACGGTGTAGCGTTTGAAGTATTTCTGCGATGTTGAAGGCGCTGTACTCATATGGTGCGAGCGGGCGCGCCTTTTATTGTCCACAATAATTCAAATTCGCGGCTCAGAAGTTATGCACATTTTTTAATCAAAAAATGTCATTAAACGTCATCATACATTTATTATGACGTTGTTCACCATTTCCAAAATTCACGAGAAAAATATTTTTCTATAAGCCACCGTGTTATAAAAATGCCACATTGGAGTTCACAGCTTTGCAAACGAGAACATACCGTTCATGAATTGCCTCGAATGGTCGGCGCACGGTGGATCGAGTTAACAGGAGAGGTCAGACAAAATTTGGAAACATCAAAGGCATATAACTTCGTTTATATGTTTTGAGGTTCTAAAAGTAGCTCCATTGGTTTCCTCGTTAAATTTTCTTCTACAGATACAAGCTCCCTTTGAATTTTAAAATGTGACGAAATATAAGCATCAAAATTTTTAGATTGAGTCAAAATGTCATGTCCGACCTCTCTTATTGACTCGATCCACCGTGCGGTGTTTCTTTGCACAGCTATTCTAATGTATTTTATGTGAAATTCAACTAAATACCTGCTTATCACATTCATCCGTATAAACGATGTTTTTTACTTTGGACGCGATGTCTTCAAATGCTCTCGGATCGTCCGCTTGGCACAGTAGCGACAGCGCGTGAAACTTTCCAATTCTGTCCAAGACGAGTTCAACATGTTTCCTGTCCGGGTACAGTCGGTCCTCGGACAACCTGAAATCCTTTTGGCCCAAATGTTTCAGGATGATTACATCCTCCGTCGACTTTTGATCATTGGTCGCCTGGCCGTACACAAACTCGCAGAAACTCGCCGAAAGGAGATTGTCTCGGTCGTATTTCCGTAACAGAGGGAGGATTTCCGTGTAGAATAATACCTCGTTGTGAAACAGGCTGCTGCCGTCCATATACTGATCCATCGAGTGCCTAAAATTTATGACACGAGTAAATTATACAGATATTGATGACGAAAGTGCGAAACCACGTATGTCCATCGCGATGTCTCAAAATTTCCGTCCCTGTTTTAGTTTTTCGAAGGGAGGCAAGCCAACTTTATGGTCTGAAATGTATAAGAATATTCTGCTGGTAGAGAAAAAAAAGTCAAAGAAGTTTTCAAGAAATTACGTTGACTAGTTTCCCGAAGGAAAAATAAAGTAGGATAGGAAGTATGCAACATCGCAAACGGAGATACGTGTTTTTGCACTTTGGCCATCGATATGATTGATGGAAAAATGAAAAATAAAGTATTCAATCAAAAGCGAGAATGAAGAAACAAAATAACTATGCAACCATAGCAAGTTCAGAGTCACAAACGAAGTGATCGATAGGCGAGAGGCGATAATGCTAATATTATTTCGGGGTCAGACTGCAGGGAGCCTTTAGTTTCGTATCGACACACTGGGGCCAGGAAATTATTCTGATTGTTGAATATGTCCTGGGATGGGTTCAGGTTGGGCACCCTACGCAACTAAACTGACTGCGGAGTATTACGTGGATATGAAGGGGCTCAAACCGAATTCGTTTTTTCCTGAGCACGCGCCAAGGGATATTTCGGCGAGGACATATTTTTGTACTTTGGAAGAGTTTAACTGAAAAAAATTATGAAATGGACGTCCAATTTTCAGTTGCTGAAGAATCGAGAATTCGATTATGTGCTAACGTGAATGGAGTTTAATAATCTTTTCCATGTGTACCTGCGTGTTTTAACGACGACTGGAACATTGAAGCGCCTGCTTTCAGCAGATTCTAGTACTATGTCACCAAAAATCACGTCTGATAACACGTGATCGATGCCTTTTTCGTCGCTGACTTCAAAACTGACGAACTTCGTCCCATTCGATCCTAAAGACCCAGTTTTTACCGCCTCCGGTAGAATTTTCGACGTTAACCACTCCAGCACACTCATTTCAGTATTCGTGTATGTATGTTTTTCAATTCCGAAAACCCGCCAAAACTTCAGCACAATCCTAAAGTATCAAGACAGTCCGCATGGTTTACTTAGTTCAAGATTGGAACATTTCGTCAAATGTTTTTCTCGGTTTCTGTTTTACATCACCAAAGATAGGATGTGAAATTCCCCAACAGCCGAGGAAATAACACAGAATTTGAATCACACCTACCCGAATTTAGCGACGCTCTCTACTCGTTCTTCTCTCAACTTTATTTTTTTACCTTTTACTTACTTTGTACCACTATCTTCTAATTAATTGAGCCTTTAACTTGCGTAATACACACATAAATCAGTCGGCCAATAACTCTAGGTACTCAAGTAATATTAAAACCGCATTTGAAGTTTTGCTTATCAAGACATCAACATCGTTTTTTCTCCGTCGCAAGTGACCCACATCATTACTCAAACATAAAATCATAAATCTGTTTTCAAATCCTGCCAAAAGGAAACACGAACTAAAAAAAAGTGTCCAGTAGTTGTTAATGGATCGCGAATAGAACCACACACATCGCACTCGAATTATTCATAGGACAAAGTCACCGGTGGTTTAGGCATACCCATGCTTTGCTGCGGGTCGACCATGTTGTTCGGAATGTTCGCGGGAAAAGCAGTGGCGCACAACGAGCACTATTTTGACCGAACACCACAAATATCCAGAACAATTCGTAAGAAATGTTAACGCACTGCTAGACCTGCAAATTTCATCGCGAACGGTTCGCGAATAATTTAGTTTGGCCACGGCCGAATGTCGCGCAGGCACTGAATCACTGATTGAGATCAATTCCCCTCGTTTTTCGAAGAGAGCAGATGCCGAGTACTCATACTTTATACCGGCAACATTGGCGAACCGAGTGCAGGGTTGTCAGATGTAATTTCAAACGACTTCGACGCTGTAGTTTGTATGGAGAAATCCAGAACAAAGCCCCGCTCGTGGCAACGCCAATGCGGACGGCCTTGAGATAAGGGGGTCACTCACTTCGCGCGGATTCCCCATCACCATGAGTGTCGCGTCGTATAGCATCGTGGCAACGACCTAAACACAACAACATGAGAGCGAGAGTACGCTCCCAAACAGAGTTGGAAAAAGGATGCGTCACGCCTATGTTGCGCCGTGCGTCGTAGACTTCCCCCAATTCTCCGTCTTCTGGCGAAACTCACAGTCAGCCCTCGTGTTTATATTGCACCGAAAAAAAAAGGTATGGTAACATCTACTATAAGCCTACTTGATTTTTTACACAGTGATACTATTCAGTGAAAATAACCAAAATCATGGTAGTATTCACCAGAAATCTGGTGATACTTATCATAATATGGTGCACGCTATTATGGAGTCTGGTGTTTATTACCATACTCGTATCACTGAGTCAAAGTATGGTAAAATCTACCATATTTTTTCAGCGTATATCTTTCTATAGACGCTATTAGTGGCGACGTCATCAAGGGATTCTCCATTATATCGAATTGGGTCCAAACAATAACATTTGCGTAAGCTCTTTCAGTGCTACCAATGCGAATAAATCGATGTATATCGCTTTTTTGTGACGTGCCACTAATAGCGTCTATTCGATGGCCAAAGTGCGAATCCACGCACCTCCGTTTGCAACTTCGCAAACTTCCTGTCATAATTTATTTTTTCATTTGGAGAACTAGTTGACGTAAGTTCTTGAAAACCTCTTTGATACTTCCTCTCCATTGCAGAATGCTTCGCGGTAATCTCAAGATGTACAGTTGTTGACTTGTTTCTCTTCGAAAACATAAAAAAGGAGCTGAGATTTTGATGTACCACATTGGAGATACGTGGTTTGCATTTTAGACATCGTATATCTGCATGTAATTTTTTTTTAATATTATTGTTATGTTTTCGATTTGATCGTTTACGGCATCACAAACACGGGGCCGAAATTTGGAAATTTTATCTAAGCCATTCAATATCCAAGAGGATTCGAACTGATTCCTTCCTATTTGGACAAAAATAATATTTTTTTACCTTTTCTAAATAAAAAAAAATCCATAAGATTCGAATGTTTTAATTACGAGTTGGAATCACTTCATCATGAGGTTAAATTATATCATTTAAGCTGAATTAGGTTCACGAGTATATACCACCTCGAAAGATGTCCATTTTGCGTTCAAAAAATTGAAGGCGTTTTGAATTTCAGCGCGCTGACTGTAGCGCTTGATTAACGGACGCGTTGGAGACAGCATATCGCCTGGATGCCTAATCAAGCTTTACGGACGTTCGTAACACATATCGATGGTCAGAGTACAGTATCCTGTATCTACATTGCGGTGTTTCAAAATTTCCGCTCCTATTTTATTATTTCGATGGGAAGCAATTCAACGTTACTGCATAATTCGTATGCCAGATACTCTGCTAACAGAGATGAAAAATCACGGAGAAACATTTTACGTTGACTGGTTACCTATTCGAAGAAAAATAGATTTTGACAAGTAATCTGCAACGTCGCAAACGGAGATACGTGATCTCTCAATTTGGTCATGTAGGAATGTGGTCATTTGGAATGTAGAAAACTGAAGGCATTTTGGCTTTTTTCGCACTGATTTTATTCGTCCGTAACAAGGACACTGGGACGCGCTGACAACGGCGCCTTGATACAACTATACAACCTCGACGGATGTCCATATTGCGTTCAAAAAATTGAAGGCGTTTTGAATTTCAGCGCGCTGACTGGAGCGCTTGATTAACGGACGAGTTGGTGACAGGATATCGCCTGGATGCTTAATCAAGCTTTACGGACGTTCGTAACACATATCGATGGTCGGAGTACAGTATTACGTATCTACATTGCGGTGTTTCAAAATTTCCGCACCTATTTTGTTATTTCGATGGGAATCAATCCAACGTTACTGCATAATTTGTATGCCAGATACTCTGCTAACTGAGATGGAAAATCACGGAGAAACATTTTACGTTGACTGGTTACCTATCCGAAGAAAAAATAGATTTTGACAAGTAATCTGCAACGTCGCAAACGGAGATACGTGATCTCTCAATTTGGTCATCGGAATGTAGAAAACTGAATGCATTTTGGCTATTTTCGCACTGATTTTATTCGTCCGTAACAAGGACACTGGGACGCGCTGACAACGGCGCCTTGATACAACTGTACAACCTTGACGGATGTCCATATTGCGTTCAAAAAATTGAAGGCGTTTTGAATTTCAGCGCGTTTACTGCAGCGCTTGATAAAAAGCCCGGATTTTCCGCTAATTTGGACGTCAACGTCAATCCGGGAGGCCTAAACGCTGACGATAAAATCCAGGAAAATCCGGGCGTTACTATCAGACCATTTCGCAACTTCTGTGCTACGTCCATTTTCAAAATTAAAAAAAAGCCAAAAAACGCTCCACCCTAACGAGGAACCAGATTTTCGTGGCCTTCACTTTACTAGAAAAGCTAAAGAAAACAGAGAGAACTAAGAAGAAGCGGAGGGGGTTGAAGAGAAAAAGAAAGAAAGGAGAGAGAACAGAGAGGAAGGAGATAAAGAAGAGAGAAAGAAAAAAGAAAGCAGAAATGAGACGGAAAAAAGAAAATCAGAGATAGAAGGAATGAGATTGAAGTGGAATTGGGGTATCATCGTGGAATCGCATGCTTGCCCCGTACCCGGAATACATACAAAGAATAGCTTTCTAGCAAACGAGGATACATTTTACATTCACGCCATGTCAGTTCGCCTTCAATTTCAGTATAGGCAACACGCGAGCCTCCACCGTCAAATAGCGGTATTGTCGTACAAAAAGCTAGGAGGCTGCGATGGTACTTACATTGAGAATGTTGAGAGCGGGGAAATAACTCATCAGCTCCGCAAAATAGGGCTGATATTGAGATCTGAATTTTCGGCGGATCGGTCCTGCTGCAGTTCTTCCTGAGTGCTGATTGACGAGTTTCAGCAATGCTGAGCTTAAAAAATATACTCTTTATCGAGCATATGCCTTGCGACTCCGGCCATCAATTGGACGGCTTTGGGGTGGGCCGCTAGGTCTTTGAAATTCGCCGTGCGGGCCAGCATCTCCTTCTTCAGCTGGGCCTCGTCCAGGTGTTCCCATTCGGGGGGTGTCAGGTCCAGGGTGCCCTCTATCAAGTTGAACATCGTTGGAGCGAAGAGGGCGCATTGATGGTAACCGTAAACACCGTTTCTCCGCAAATCCAGGACGACCGTCTCGAACGAGGGTGTTCGCGGGTGACCAGCCATCAAGCATGTCATAGCACCTACGGATCAATGATTGGGTAATTATCATTTTTCCATTCTTAGGACTACTATCTTTGAGGAAGGGAGACAAATCGATATCCTTAACATTCTCGAAACTCTGGCATATAATTTTCTCCGAAAAAATGGAAAATTCTACTAAATCTGTACTTCCGAGCACAATTATAAAAAAAAAAAAAAAAAAAAAAAAAAAAACAAGCTAGCAGTACCCAATCTTCTCAGAATTGAAAGAGTTATCCTGCTGTTACAATAAATTTTAATTAATTTTATTCGAATCCAGGGGCCTTCTTGGGAAACTTTTAGAGTTTGAGACGTCTTAGGCGCAATTTCGATCTTAACACACCACACCACCACGTTTATCACCTACATCTAGTTTAGCAAGGCCGGATTTAGGGGGTGCGCGGCCCATGGCGGCAAATTTAGAAGGCGGCAACTTTTGCGATTTTTTTACATGTAGGTATTAAACAAATCGGATCGAGAAAAAAAATTACCAACTAGAAAAGGCGACAAAATTTTTAATCTCCTGCGAGTATAGCAATTTCTAATTTTGTTGTCTGTCGGTGGTACAAGAGACAGCACCTTTAATTAGTCGAGCTAAGAGAGAAACCAAACTTTAGCCCGGAACGGTGCGGCGCAGAGAGCAATGATGACGAGGACTTGAGATGAAAAGGAGAATCCCTCGGCGCGCCGGTCGGCATGTAACACATATCAGCGCCTACAATACTGCATGAATACTTCACGCATTGCGTCAAATACAGTGCGTTCAGCAGCGGTCGGTCGGCGTGAAACGCGTAGCGCCTACAAGACTGCATGAATACTTCACGCATTGCGTCGAACACAGTGCGTTCAGCAGCGGTCGGCGTGAAACGCGCAGCGCCTACAAGACTGCATGAATACTTCACGCATTGCGCCAAACTGACACACAACAAAAATAATCTTGATAACTGGACCACGTTTAGCAGAAAAGAACCAAACCTTATCTGCTATTGCCAACTTTAACTGGTCATTTCAACAAGAAAATGTTCGTGCAAATTCCTATGAAAATTAGAAGAATTTGCTTCGTACTTTGCAGAAAATTTCCTGAAATTTGCACAAAAATCCGCACAACCATTTTCATGTAAAAAATTAAATTTGGCAATAACTGACGTGGCTTGGTTGCTTGCTACTTAACGCGGTCCAATTTGTTATGATAAAGGTAGATAAAAGCAACGATAAGGACGTTTACCATGGTAAGTCTGAAGAAAATGATCCCAATGATCTCGCCTCATCTCGGCAGACACGTTGCAAGACAGGAGAGTGCTCACATCAATCGCCGGCGAGCAATAATTGATCGTGCCGAAGTCGAAGAAGGCTACTTCGATTGGTTCCCCGTCGGGGCCGTATTTGAACATCATGTTATTTCGGGTGAGGTCCCCGTGGGCTATGACCGAAAGAGGCCCTGAGTGGTCCGTTGTATACCTTGCCATTAACTGGAGGCCTCCCTCACAGTTCGCGATCAAACCCGCTAATCTATCCCGATATTTTTCATCCGCCTTCAAAGGCTCGAGTCCGCGGAGAAAGGCCGAGACTCCGAACTGGAAATTTTTACAGACATTTTTAGGATTCTCATCATGGATTAATTAAGCAAGACTAAATGGACTGAGTTAAGCAGAAAGGAACCAACCCACATTTTGAAACAAATTGAGTTATGAGTGGTTTTGAACTCAATCACTGCTCTACTATCTATCGCCAAAAATTCAAAGTTTTTGTTGGAGCTTTTGCAGAAACAGAACTTGCAGTTTATCTTTTACATTGAGTCTTATGCAGGAGCCGAACTTTAAACCTCTTTTTCTCGGTTCGATCCCGATGTGGCTTGGTTCCTTTCTGTTTAGCTCCGTCCAAATTTGGACCGCGTTAAACAGAAAGAAAAAAAGCCACATCAGCTACTGGAAAATTTAATCGGGCAATTTAATGTTTTACATGAAAATGGTTGTGCGGATTTTTGTGCAAATTTCAGTGAATTTTCTCCATGATACGAAGCAAATTCCTTAAAATTTTCAAGGGAATCTGCGCGGACGTTCTCTCGTAAAAAACGAAATTTCCCTGTTAAAGACAATAGCTGATGTAGCTTGGTTCCTTTCTGTTTAACGCGGTCCATTTAGGAGTAAACATTTGATAGCACCAGGGAAGGATTTGCTGGCATCTTAGTAGTGGCGATTCATGAAAATTGGTTATACTGTTTTTCCTCCATTTAAATGTATGTAAAATAATCGAGTCTTAGTAAGGCAGTTTTCCTCGCCTAATTCGATACTTTGCATGGATTTAAATAAAGAAAAAGTAGTGCTGCTAACTTGTAAAATCGCCACTGCTTCGCTGTCATGGACTTTCTTACTAGAGCCTTTCGTGGCTGTTTTTTTTTATTTGCCCTTTTGTTAATGCTTTTTTAACATCCACTGCAATTTTTTTGCTGATAAATAGCCACGATTACTCACTGGGGTATATCTCATGACCCCACAGTTGAGACATTGAGTATTTATGATGCGTTTGACATCCTTATTTTGTTTGGGCATTTGGATGTTTCTAGGGACCTTTGACTTTTTATTTCAGTGATGAGTTGGACATAATTGTCGTGAATACTCTAGCACGCACAATCTCATCCCCATTTTAGATTCTCATCTTTTTTTCTTCTTTTAAGTAGCGGGCCGATTCTTGAAACTATGTCAATACGAGAATAGACATGACACAATCCTATCTTAGCCATGCAATATATCGTATTTCGATGTATTTTCGGGCTGCGTTGAACTTTCAATAGTGGGCAGGTTGAATGTAGGTATAAAGACGCAAATGATCAAATTCAGTGTACCTCTTTGCCTACGTCTTCAGAGAAAGGAATGTACTGGATTTCAGATGCGACCTCATCAAACGCCTGGGGATCGCTCACTTGGCATAGCAGTGATATCCCGTGATACCTGCCAATCCTGTCCAATGCCAACTCAACATGTCTCTGGTCCAGGTATAGTCGATCCTCTGACAGCTTGAAGCACTTTTGAGCCAAATGTTTTAGTATGATCACATCCTCTGCTAACTTATGATCATTGGTAGCGCGACCATACACGTATTCGCAAATATTCGTCGACAGGAAGTTGTCCCGATCATATTTTTTAAACAAAGGCAGTATTTTTGTGTAGAACAACACCTCATTGTGAAACATCTTGCTGGTCTCTAGCAAAGTGTCCAGTGATCGCCTGGAAAATGAGAAAATATTCACCTAAGTATCAGTGATCAAGATCACAAGATCACACCTTTGACACTAATACAGCCCATCCTCATAGCATTAAAATTTAACTCTATTCTGATAGCCTTCTTTCTAACCAATGGACCTTTAGACTTATATTTATTCTATTTCAAAACTGTCATTAATAAAAATTTCTAAAATTTTACTTTCCTCTCTTTTTGAGTATATTTGTCACGATTACAAACAAAATTGGTAGCAAAATACCAATGTCTCTGTGGATTGTGTCGTTTTGAAAAACTCCAAATGCGTTTTTCTCAAAACATGGTTTTAGCATAAGAGCCCTTTTTGCATATAATGCCTCAATCAGTCACTTAAAGTCAGATTCAACTTCCATAAACGGCAGTGGCATTTCTTGCAAGTTGGCAACAATGTTTGTTCTCAATTTAAATGTATGTTAAACTATCGATTCTTGCCGAGGCAGTTTGTCTTATCTAAAATCGATATTTTTAATAGATTTAAAGAGAGAAAAAAACAGTTTTGCCAAATTGCAAAATCGCCACTAAACAACGGTTCATCGGCAGGGCGTAGCGCGGCGCCCTCAAAAAGATCTCCGAGCGGCAGTTTGTCAGATTCACACGGAGTTCCTTCATTTTGTCGGATATGCAATTTGATCTCCGGAGAGTTAAAATAGTTGCTCGATGAGGAATTACCGGCGCGCACAGCGCAGCGCCTTCAGCAACATTTCTGAGCTGTATAACTATTACGAGACTCACTGAAAGCTTTTTCATCTCTTGACGTCGTATGAGATTGTACGTCTCCGTCTACGGAGTTGTAATATACTTTCTTGAGCACACACTATTTTTAACTTTTTTAACTGCCCAGCATTCCTTAAAATGAGCCCTTAAACATCGAAAACTTGTTCCTCTCCTGATCCATTTTTGTTAAAAAATATCATACAACTAATTACAATAGGACGTATTTCTACCAAACAGACCTATGTGGATGTGAGAAATATGGGGTGTGCTCGTTAGTTCTCTGGCCGTAAGAGTGAATGAGAATAATAAAGCGCCAGTGACGTCAGCGGAAATGATCGAGCCGCGCAACGACGGGGAGATGGTCGTCGGGGCGCTGTAACTCATGATCCCTGTCCACAACGCTCTCGTGCCATGCCCGCGGCTCATGAATCCCGCATTCAGTTGGCACATAGGTCTGTTTGATAGAATGTGAAATCCCGCTTTTCCAATTCTTCAAAAGGAATCACGCCCACTTTTACATTGCTTCTTATGCAGCTTTCTAGAGCACACCTCATATTTCTCACCTCCACATAGGTCTGTTTGGTAGAAATACGTCCAATAATGACATCAAATGAATTCGGTAAAAAGTACTCGAAGGCTCCTAACTTACCTGCGTGTTTTGATGACGACTTTAATCTTGAGTTGCTTGTTTTTGGTTGTTTCCAAAACGACGTCACCAAAAATTACATCGGAGCACATCTGATCGATGGCTCTCTGGTCACTGACTTCAAAGCTGATGAAACTCCTCACGTCGCTGCCAAATGATCCAGCTTTTACGGCCTCCGGAAGAATTTTCGACGTCAACCATTCGATCACACTCATGTCTTGGAAGGCAATGCAGAGACCCGTCGGATCGTTGAAAGTTTCCTCGCCACTTCAATGAGTTTGTCGCGTCACAGTTTGTGAAATATTAACGACCTTTTTTTCCGTCATGTCAATATTCGAGCCCTCCCATGGAAACTATGACTGCCTATTGAAAAATTAACAAAATTCAGGATCGTAGCAATTTCTGAAGTGTTTTTATGAATGTCAAAAATTATGATTAATATACTGCCGTGCTAAGGAAAAACGCCGTATGAAAGTTCGAGAGTTGCAAAATTTCCTTCGATAAAATGTTTATTTTTGAAGAAAGCTATGGATAGTTTTCTTTGGAATTTTCAGGAAATTTAGGTGAGACTGCGAACAAAGTTATCTGAAAAATTGGACGAAAAACTTTTCATATTTCCCCATAAATTCGTGATTTATTGAAGGAAATTTGACAAGACCTGAAGGCCTATACAGCGTTTTTCCTTAGCACGGCAGTAATGCACAGGCATTTGAATCGGTGTAATATGTCAAGAATGTAGGTGCAGGTCCCGTGTGCGTTTTGCTCCATCTTGTACAATCCAGAAGGACTTATTGAAATAAGTGAGAAAAAGTGAGCTCATGAGTGAGCAGTTAGTTTAACAACACTTTACCAATATTTAATTATTTTTGATGAAAGATGCACTTCAACTTTCCTAAACTTTTAATGGATAACACTCTCAAATAATTGTCCTTTAAATTATTTTATCCTTAGTTCCCTGAAGAGGAAGAAAAAAAACTTTTACGAAAGAATACATAATGCAAGAATACTGTGACACGACCGAACTTTTCATAAGTACGCCTAACTTAATATCTCTCCGTAATTTTCCGTGTGGCTACCTTTCCATTAAGAAATCTATGGGGGCATATATAAAAAATAAACGTGGAAAACTACGTTCACAATTATTCTCAAAACTTAACAAAGATGCACAATTTTCAATGAGTTACTTACATAAAAATGTTTAAGTTTCTCATCAAAAAAGTTTTAAGGTAGCGAAATGTTCCTCACAGTTTCTTGACCCGAGGAAAATTTACCTTGGTACTGCATCTTGAATTTAAAGCATTATTCCACTTCTTAAACGTGTATTATTGTGTTTGCTGATGCACATTTTAAGCACTCCGAGATCGATACAATTCATAAAATAAGTAATCAACCGATGAAATAAGTTTAAGGTGTCGATAACGAGTACCCGTTCTTAACCACTATCGTTAATTTGAAGTAAAGTATCCAAAACACGATTTTCTTTCTTTCGATAATTCGCGCCGAGTGGGCGTCAAACTCATTACTGCAACTTAGTTATAATTGCTCGGGAATGTGTGTAGCTACCACTACCCACTCAAAAAACATTGGAACAATTAGAGACGTTGCAAAATAGCCTGATACAATCACATTGTCTGAATATCAGTCAATGCGAATAGTAGTGTTCTTTTTTAGCATGGGCGATTAGAATTGAACTTGTACCCCTGAGTTTCGCTCATGCATGCCAAATCTTAGTGACAGAATGCATAACTTGGTGACTAAATCAATCAAGACCTTGGCCAGCAGCCATTTTTTTAGACCCTTGAGTTGAGTAGAGTGAGAGAGTCCTTTTGAAGCAAAATGCCCTTTTAGCATGGATCGTTGCCGACCCTTACTGCCGTGCTAAGGAAATCCGCCGTATGAACATTCGAGAGTTGCCTCGAAATGCATATTTTTCTCTTGAAATTTTCAAATAATTTAGATCAACCTATCGAATAAAATTCTTTAAAAAATTTGAAGAAACATATTCACTAATTTTCTCCGAAACTCATGTTTTACACTGAAAAAAAATCTCGGTGTATTTACTAAGAAAAGGGTAAAATTACCAAGAATTCAGGGTTCTATTTGATCCCAGTTTTTTCTCGGTAAAATTACCATTTATGGGATTAGTAATTTTACCAAGAAATCTCGGTAAAATTATTGAAATTTCTCGGTAATTTTACTGGACCCCGGTAAAAACGCCAATATTTTTTATCGACTGTGCGGTAGAATTATCGAGATAAAATGGCAAAGTTACCGGGAATTGATTACCAATAAAAGTGGTATTCTTACCTGAAAAAAACAGTAAAAGTACCGGTTTTTAGGTAAGCTTACCAGTCTGTCTTGGTAAAATTACCAAAAATTGGTAAAAAAAAGTGAGATGGTAAAGGACCTACCAACGGACCTTGGTAAAAACGCCGAGAATTTGTTTTCAGTGTATCAAAAGAAATTTGGCAGCGGCTGAAGGTTCATACGGCGTTCTTCCTTAGTATGACAGTAATCTGGCCCTGCTATCATGTAATATGTACAAAATTAAAATCATTCGGTGAGCATAAAGTTTGATATTAATGAAACAGTGCGTCAAATGTAATTTTCACCGAGGAACAACGCGACGCTTTTAAAGGCTTTGTGACCAACGGCCTGGTATTAAGTTTTGCTGCGTGTCCTGGCGATTTCCAACCCCTCAACTCGCGCACGACGACGTCGTTGTTATTATTCCTTCATTAAATCTCTAAAATAAAGACACAGAACATTAGAGACTCCTGGCTCCAATGCATCCTGGCTCGTTCGAATGAAATGCAAGCGTGATTAAAAAATCTGAACTCACAGGCGGTCGCAGACCTTCAAACTTGAACCGAAATTTTAATTCCGGACTTTTACCGTTCGCTCTAATCGGACGAGTTCAAAACAGAGAAGTACCCACGATCAGCTTAATGGCAAAAATATTTTCAAATACTTTACCAGCGCGAATTCGCCGCTGATGAAAATCGTAGCTGTTAATACACACCGACGGCAGTGGCATGACGTGAAAAATCGATTATCGATGTTTCCCCATTCGCGGCTATGGTAAAGAATCGATTATTATAAGGTGTTCGTTGCGAACACCCTGTTTATCGAGCCTTTTCCATAGGTTCAAATAGCAGATCAATCGATTTATTGCAAAACACGCCTCTGACCGACGGTGAAACTCCCAAACCACGTATCTCGTTTGCGGTGTTTTAAAATCTCTGCTCCCTTCTTTGAAGGAGATCATATGGAGTACATTTTGCAACAAGGAATCACTATCTCTGGCCACCCATAAAAGCACATATCTGCATAGGGAAACCAATGTTATGTACGTTGTTTCTAAAATGGGCCAAAAATAGTGGTTCTTAACAGGGCCGGATTAAGGGGGTGGCCACATGGGCCGCGGCCCATGGCGGCAAATCTAGGGGGCGGCAAATTTTGCAATTTTCTTAAATGTAGGTTTAAAAAAAAATCGGCTTTAGAAAATAAAAAAAATACAAACGAGAAAAGGCTACAAAATCTCTCATTTCCTGAGAGTATATAGTAATTTCTGATTTTGTCGTCTTTTAGTGATACAATAGACAGCTTCTTTAATTAGTCGAGTTGAGAGAGAAACCAAACATACAATTTGGCCTTGAAAGGCGCGACTTAGGGAGAAATGATGACGAAGACTTGAGATGAAAAAGAGAAGCCCTCGGCGCGGCAATTGGCATGAAACACATATTAGCGCCTACAAGACTACACGAATACTTCACGCATTGCATCAAACAAAGTGCGGTTTTCGTGGTCAGCGTGAAACGGATAGCGCCTACAAGAATGCATGAATACTTCACGCATTGCGCCAAATACAGTGCGGTCAGCGTGAAACGCATAACGCCTTCAAGACTGCGTGAATACTTCACGCATTGCGCCAAACACGGTGTGAGCGGCAAGTAGGAAAATCCGGCCCTGGTTCTTAAGGCGAAATGTATTTCATATCAACATCGTTTTTCGAGATTTTCACAGAACCTTCCTCGCGCTGTAATGAAAAATGACGAAAGTTTAAAAAATTGACGCTGAGTAGTTTTTCATATATTTATAAAATAAAGTATGACAGGAAGTCTGTAATATCGCAAACCGAGATATCGATGGCTACACTGCGAAACCGTGTATCTCCGTTTGCGACGTTGTTGGGAACTTTTCGTCACTCTTTATTTTTTCCTTGAAATAGAGTCAATGTAATTTTTTGAAAACTGCCATGATACTTTTCCTCCATCAGTAGGAGATTTTGTATACATTTCAAGCTATAAAGTTGGCTTTGCTTCTTTTCGAAAAAATAAAATAGAAGCGGAAATTGTGAAAATAGGCATGGGGATACGTGATTTGGACGCATTTCTATCAAACGGAACTATGTGCATTATGACGTGAGCCCTGTAATGCATATATTCTTATGGGTCTCAGGGCTCATGTCTTAACGCACATAGTTCCTTCTGGCAGAAATACGTCCATTCAGTACTTTGCCCAACGATAGATGGTTTGGGAGTTTGACCGACGGTGTGTGAGGATATCCATTCCCGCAAAGAAAATGTTTTACCGGTTTGCTGTCAGGAGGCAGAGAGGTGTCACTAGTAGAATTTTTCACCTCTCTCTTTACATCTTACTCATTCTGAGATAAGGAGAGTCGGTTAGACAATATGACGTTCACAGTGACGAAGAGTCATGTAAGTGATACCCCCGGGAATTATGAATCGTCACTAAATACATCTGTTATCTTTACTCTTTCCTTTTCCTTTTGGTTGTCCGTGTGTGAGCGTGAGATTTGATTTTTTTTCCATGTAGTAAATTCTTTGCTTTTGAGTAACACTGCTGAGGCACCTCAACAGAGTAATATGACGTTAACCGTACCCACATTGAAGAGTAAAACTTAGAGGGCGACGGATGGATTGGATCGCATTCTGCAATCAGGAAGTACATTTAATGACTTATTCGTAAAAACACTTATGTGCATGGGCGAACGAATAGTACATACGTTGTTTCTAAACTGAGCCAGAAATTGTAGTTTCTAATTGCAAAATGATATTCAATTATCAATGACCGTGTAATTCTCTGAACTTTAAGTCCCTTGATTGAGCCAATTATGCTTTTTGTTAGTGCCCAAAGGGCATTTCATACTGGACTTTCATTTAAACCTTTCAGTTTGAATGAAAGAAAAAAAAAATATGAAGATTTCCAGGCTGGAAACCGACTCGTCACAATATTAAAAAGAAATGACGAATAATCGACAATGTTTTTTTTGTGACATGCGAAAAAAATCTCACCTTTACCTCTGCGACACCTAATCGCCATCCTTGTCCATCGACACAGTACACATTCGCAATTTGGAAAAAATGTGTTCTATTTTTTTTGGAAGGATTGAAAAACACTTGTAACACTCTTGTCCTTCGATGTATGTCTCTATGAATTATGTAATTTTTTTAGATTAGAAAAAAAAAAAAAAAAAAAAAAAAAAAAAAAATTCTGCTTCTGCCCCTTGCCCTACTGTGCGCATTAACCGTTAAAGCAAAATCAAAAGTTATGCGGATCAAAAAACCCATTAGACGCAAGACATGGGCTAATCAAATTAAAACTACCCCTGCGACCGGTGCGGTGGCACCCCTTAAAAAAGACCTCACCCCTCGGGCGGCCTTTAATGAGCCAGTGACTCTTGCATGAATTATGCTCCGCGATCGCTCGACGCCAGCACTGCCGCGCTAAGGAAGAACGCAGCATGAGCCTTCAGGTGTTGCCAAATTTCCCTCGAGAAATCACAAATGTCTGGATAATTTACAAATTATAATCATCCGATTTTTCAGAAAATTTTGCTCGTAATTTGGTCTAAAGTGTCTAAAAATTCCAATGAAAAATATTCAAAAGTTTCTTCAAATATAAATATTTTCCGAGAGGCAATTTGGCAACATTCGAATGCTCATACGGCGTTTTTCCTTAGCACGGTGGAGCAGCGTTGCGGACCTCGCTTGCGTCTATAGAGTACGGTAAAGTCACTTTTCCGGTAAAAAGATTTACGGTTATAGTGCGGTATAAAAGTCGTCCGGTAAAGTCACTGTATAGCTGTGGTTATAGAAGATTTTCTGGTCGAGCACAGTGGCGTGGCGTGAATTGCGATGTATCGATTGTTATGCCATTTAAAATTATGGTATAGGATCGATTATTAAGGTGTTCGCTGCGAACACCCTGTTTATCGATCCTTTTTCAAAGGTTTAAATGGCATGGTAATCAATATATCGCAAAGTACGCCACGCCACTGGCAGTCGATATGGCTCTTTCAATGAATTGCATCATAAGGCATCTGAAATAAAATGATGTGAAGGGGCATTTATAAAAAGGTTGATCGAGAGCTTATTTTTCAATTTTTTTTTACCTATTTCACTTACACCAACGATTTGGGGCGCTTTAGCCTCTTGTGTTATTTTCGAACTTGTACATAATGACGTCTCTACAGCTGATTAAATT